ACTTGTAAAAGCGCAATACTCTTTTTCGCCCATAACCGAATAATTAACTTTTTAAAGTGAATAACATGTTTTTCTAAATTCTTAGAACAATTTAATTACTAGCTAGAACAGAACTTTCTTTGGTATGTTTTTTAAAGTCCATTAAACCAATAATTTTATATTGCAAAGCTATTATGAATTACAAATATGAATCTCTTTATGCACTTTTAAGTCCATTATGTACATTTTCTAAGTTATAAAACACTTTTAGTCCCACTTTTAAACATAACGTCATAAAAACCATTGGAAAGCAGCCGTAAAAATCACTACAATTGTGATTTCCGTAACGAAAAGTCAACATTACCCGCCTTTTATATGTCATATGGTTCGATCTAGAGATTGCCGACTATTTTTTCGTTACTTACTTGGTCGAGGTTTTTCAGGAACTGGTTTATCAGCCAACTGATAAGCGAAACCGCGCGCTACACACCCATACACTCGCCTCCGAGTGAGCAACGCGTCTAATGCCAGCGGATCAAGATTGGCGAATGCCCCATCGGACTCCAACTCGCTTTCTGTTCGGCCAAAAATCGTTTCTATATGCGTAGCACGGAGCACGGAGCATGGAGCCCACAAAAGCCCCTGCACATGGCCATAAAAGTGTACATAAAGTTAAGTTCTGTATAAGCTTTTCCATGTACTTTGCCGTGTGGAGGGGATGGGGGGTACATTTGGGGGTGTGCCAGTGTGTAGGTCACCGAGGCACGGCGTCAACGTCGACGTCGCTGCTCACGGGGCCCCCAAGATGTCTGCGGCAGAATCTCAGACCTCGAAAAGCCCCATTTAACGCATACAGCTCGAAAAGGAACGCTCTTGAATGGAAGAGATCTGAAAAACTAGGGACTGGGAATTGCGCACAAAAGGCGGAAAAACTTGCCAAGCTGCTGCGCAGTTGATAAGAAAAATGAAAACTTAGTCACTTCCAGGCGATAGGAGTTCTAGTGTTTCCGCCTTCGAATTGATTAGCGCAGTGGTGGATCCAAAGAGGGGTTTCCGGGTTCAAATCCCAAGCGAATTTAAATTTTTTAAAATCAAAATGAGATTACTTATTCCTTACAAGCAAATGCCGATGCAACTTCATAGCTTGTATCTCGATTTCCCAAAATATCGAGTCACCCCTGGACTTTTTCCCGCCTCAAAACCTCAAACCCTCCCTGGAAAGCCAAAGCCGAACGGTATTGCGCATGTTTCCACATTCTTTTGCAGTTTCCTTTGTGAAACAATTCGGCCTGCATGGCGAACATATAGGGGCAGAAAATGTGTCTTTGTTTCTCATTTTTACCTGGCGACCAAGAATTTTTCATTAGAATGATAACTTGGCTAGAAATTGCGTCTTATCAAGGGGGCTTCCGGTTCCTTTGTTTACATTTTTCTCTTCTCCGAATGCAATTGCAGTGCTAGGGGAGGGTATTTTGAAACATAACCAGTTTGCTGACATTTGCATAAGCACATACAGTGAGTCACATTAATATTCGGTTTTTTTTTTTTGTCAACTTCAGACGTGAATAAAAAGTTTGAAACTAATAAAACAAAAAATCAAATAATGCAGAAATAAAGCTTTTTTAACTTATCATTGATATATATATGTTATTACTTTTTTAGAAAAATTTAACTGGCGAAACATGCATAAACGAAAAAAATGCCGAATAATTGGTAACCATTAATAGCTCGGTTTTCCTTTGAAATAAAAATAAAAAATTATTTAGGATTTAAACTAAATTTGACATTTGAAATGCTAGCCATTAGTTGTCTATGGTATCGTTTAAATACTTTTAGGTTTTTTTTTTGCGGTTCTGGGCCATTTTCCAACCTAAAAAAAGGAGGTACGGGATAATGTCAAAAAAGTTTGCAAGGGGACAACAAAGTCTCGATTTTTTTTTGAATTTATGGTTAAACCCCTGAGTCCGGTAACTAGAAATCAGTTTCAGCGCAATCCATTCATCACACCAAAAAAAGTGGATGGGTACAAAACAGAGTCGCTCAGAAGAAGCGTTTTGCTGCTTGATTCCATACAAAACTTAAGGAAAAAGGAATTTTCGAGCGACTCTGCTTTTGTACCCATCCATTTTTTTTGTGTGGTGAAAAAAGGATGCTGAAACTGATTTTTAGTTAAAGGCTAGGACTCAACCGACAATAAATTAAAAAAAAAAAGGAGATTTTGTTGTAGCCTTTGCAAACTTTTTGACATTATCCCCGACATCCTTTTTTAGGTAGAAAAAAACTGGCCCAAGAATAGTCAAAAAACCTTTTAAGTATGCCAAAATATTTAAACGATACCATAGACAATAATGCGCTAGCATTTCAATTGTCAAATTTAATTTATTTCCAAAATAATTTTTTCTGATTTTTAGTACAAAAGGAAAACCAGAATATTAATGTGGCCCCAATATTCGGCATTTCTTTCGTTTATGCATGTTTCTCAAGTTAAATTTTACAAAAAGTAATAACATATATATATCTATGAAAAGGTAATAAAATAAGCTTTATTTCTGCATTATTTGATTTTTTGTTTTATTAGTTTCAAACTTTTTATTCACGTTTGAAGTTGACAAAAAAAAAAAACCGAATATTAATGTGACTCACTGTATGTAAGTTTCCTTCGTAAAAAGGTTTTATAGTTTATGCCTTGATAGCCCGGTTCAAAAATTCGAGTATGTAATAAATGTAATCAATTCGATTCATTAATTGTTGCATGTAATTTTCCATTTACCCCTGAGTTATGGGATCTAAATAGTTCGCTGAATTTTTGTAAGTATTTCAAAACTTGAGGTTTTTATATTTGAGATGTTAGGATATAAAGTACATTTATGAGCATCCTTTTCTTCACAAATACATACTTTAAATTGTAGTAGTAAATACTTCGTTTAAATAAACATTAATTACCAATTTAGAGATACTTTTTTGACAGCACCGAATTTCCTGGCCGCAATCTTGGCCAAAGGCAAAACAATCTGCGCCTAATTGGTAACCAAAGAGCTCGCTGCCTCTGAAATAAATATAATTAGAGGGTTTTCGGCGTTTGAATTACGGATTTCGGGCATGAGTTTTCCGTATCAGTGAGCTCGTTTCGGTTTTCGGTTGGGGGAAATTCTCTCAGGTCAGGTAGAGGTTGCGAAAAATGTAAACCGAAACGATTTCGAGGGGATGAGAAAGTCGTTTGCCCGCGGGAGGAGGACTGAGTCCGGTGAATCCGTGACACGGAATTTCCATTTGGCTCCCCACATTCCCCGCTTGTGTGCGTCGTTAATGAAGGCATTTGAACCAAACAAGTTGCAGTTCCCCCTTCTTTGAAAGAGGAAACCCGAAAAGACAGAAGAAACTCCGACTCCGGAAAGTCGTCGTCCAAAAAAAAAGAAATGAAAGAAGAAAGAAAAGGCAGCCGACACACAGCGACAATGCAGCTAAGTAAACAAAAAGAGGAAGGGGAGGGCTAGGGGAGCCGAAAGAAAAGAGGGAGGGACGCGGAGAGCGAGAGAGAGCGAAGAAAGGAAAACATTTACAAAAGAAAGTTCAATGAACCGGTGTGCCAGCGCGATGTCGGCTTCTTCACTTATGAGCCATGGTTGCTGATGACGTCTTGAGGTTGAATTTCAAACCAATATTTCAAACAACCCAGCCACACAGAAGTGTCAACGTCAGTGACCGCTGATTTTCCCACCCTTCCAACCGCTTTTCAGAATCGGAAAACTTCTCCACCTCCGGAGATCGGTTTACGCAAGCTAAAAACAATATTTTGGCTTTAAAAAGCTTTGCCCTTTTCTAGGAAAGCCAATCTGAAAGGTTAATTGAGAATACGTTCCTGGTTATCTAAAAATTTAATTCTCGCCATTAAAAAAATCTCATTAAAAAAATTAATATGGAAGGAATTTTAATAAACCGATCAAGATCGGAAATCAAAAGCTGACAGCGAGACTTACGATTTACTTCATGATTTTATGTATTTCATCATTATTCTTTTTAGTGTGACCGAAGTTTTCAGAGTTCTCAATGCATGTAATGTCAATTAGCTGGGTTTGTTGACGAACAGCAAACAAATCAATTGGAGCAAAGTCACAAACTTTCAAGCATCCAGGTCGCAATCATTTACAAGCACAGTCAGTTCAAATTTTGTAAACTGTCTACAACGGCTTAAGGTGTTCTTCGGATTTCACCCGCTTAATCTGGTATATCTTGGTATTTTTTTTAGAAATACCTTAGCTTATCTAAGTACTGCGGTAAAAAAAAAGCGTAAACTACCTCTTTGCCTCTCGCTCTTTGCAATGGTTAGCCCGAGGTTTTGAGCGAGTCTAAGTTCTAGCCTAGAACTTCTAGACTTTGCTCGAAGTTATTGGATTTATCTTCCTCGAGTTTCCTAGGTGAAGAGAAAGATCTTTGGATCCTTGAATATCCTCGAGCTGGTGTATTAGAACATACTATAAGGATATGAATTATACAATTTGTTTATATAACTTTTTTTTATCGAAAGTTTGTACATTTATATGTAAATTATACAAATGTATAAATTCATCATGAGTTGCAGTTTAAATAAAGTAAAATATTTCTTAAGTAAAAAGCAGGGTATTAACCGATCATCTCTACCTCGCTGGTGTTTGAAGCGCTAGCTTGGTGCGAAAATTTATCAATAAACAATCAAACAAACTTATGCAAACATATACATACATACATATGTATGTACGCAAGCTGCAGCTACACAAAAACACTAAAGAAACGAAAACAGTAAACCGCTGTATTTACATACACATACATTTTCAAACACGCTAGTGCAGGTATGAATGTATGTATGTACATATGTTCTTTGTATGTACATTCCGCGAGCGTAGTCAGCAGTAAATTAGGGGGGTTAAATAATAATTTTTGCTTTATGACTGAAAAAACCTAAGAAATAAAGTAAATGTTTAAACTCGTAAATATTTGTTGATCCCCCTTCCCTTACCTGACTACGCCAGTGGTACGTACGCTGTTCGTTGAGTTTGCGAAGCCGACTACGAATGAACGAAACAAAAACGATGAAGAACAGAACGCGATGAAACCGAAACGAAAACCATACGTACGAATGTATGCGTGTGTATGTATGCGGCGAGGGACGGGAGAGAACAACGCGCCTTTTGCAAAAATTCAGTGCTGCACTCTCATTCGTGACGAAAGGATGTACGGCCGGTTGTAGTCGAATGAATCCGTGTACATCATCGCCCCCGCAGATGCCACGTGGCTCTGGATCTGTGGAAAACTCCACACTGGAATCGCACGGCCTACAGCTGCTCGAGATGGCTGGAAAGGAGGACTACGAGGAGCTGCGCGAACTTCTTCAGTCGTGGGATGTGGCCGATCTGCTGCCCCACCTCCAAGGTATGTATTAATGTTTGTATGTAATAATGTATGTATGTATGTGTGTATACAATATGTAAACAAACCAAAACACAAACGACAATAAAGAGCGGTCGAAAAGGGAACGCAACTTTAACCCTGATAGTGCCGGTTGGATTTAAACTTTTGTTCGTTGAATTAAGATCTACATAATTATTATTATTATGTTTCAAGAAATAATTTATAATATGTGTGTAAAATCTTATTTTTCTTCTCTGACTTTTTTTTTAAATTAATTAAATTTTTTTTTTTTTTCCCCTTAAATTTTTTTAATAAACTATTATTATTTATTAATTAGCAAAATATTTAAAATTTTTTGCTACAAAGGCATTAAATATTTTCTCTAAGTTCTTTAAATGTTGTGTCGCAAAAGGTAAAAATTCACATTTTTCATTGTGATAATTTCGTTTATCATCAAAAGGAAAAGTGCAATAAAAAAATTTTAGTTTAGTCAGATTTAATTTTCTGCAAGCATTGGTAATAAAGATCGAACCTAAGAACAAAAGTTAGACAAAAAATATTTAAATTAAATGGTTTCAAATAAATAGTTATTTTAAGATAGCTACAAAATTGTTTTTAGCTTATGAAATGGAATAGTGACTATTTACCAACCACTTTTTCAGATGAGGCCATCAACGTAGACGAGCTGCAGATGATTAAACGTCATCACCTGTCCGAGTTGCTGCGGAACTTTCGCTTTGGGACCCGTATTCGCTTTGAGCACCACTTGGAGCGCTGGCGCCGTTGGCTGAACGTACCTCTTCAGGGGGTACAGGGTCAGGGGTCGACCCACTGCAGTGGTTGCCGCTGCCCGGAGGTGCAGTCCCATTGCCCGGGGCAGACGCCACTGGACATGGACCATCCATCAGAGCCGGAAGATTTACCAAAACCCGAGGATCTCGCCAAGACAATACCGGCGGAATCGCTGGTGGCCCTCGGTGAGCCCAGGGAAATGTCCGTTCCCCTTCAATTGTCCGTGACGCAGGTGCCTGCGCAGATTGCCAACGAGATGATGATGGTTAAACAGGAGCAAATGACGATGCAGCAGCAAGCTAGGACAGTAGAAAACATTTCGGGGCCTGGGTGTTCTGGAGGATCACTAGCTATGAAGGACGACCAAGATGTTACAGGTGACCAAGAAGTTAGTATTCTGGGAATCCTGAGAGCCTCGGGCATGAAGTCCCAGTCCCTGTTGGATCGCATTGGACAAAATGCACCCCTTGATGCGGTGCAGCGGCTTCTGCTCATCCAACTGGTGTGCAGCTACTACGAGGAGAACCAGTTGCACCTGACGCTGCAGAGGAGTCACCTTCTGGAACGCGAGATCCTGGAGCTTTTCCCACAGGAACAGCTTCATTATTACCGCACCGAGAGACGCGGCAAGATTTACGTGAGATTTACCAACATGAAGAGGAGCAAGAGGCTTAGTTCCTCGCGCCAGGAGCTCAAGCGACGCCGTTCCGAGCTCATAAGAGCGATGCCGGCAGTTCAGGGCCATAGGTCCAATGTGACCTTCCCCGGGGAGAAAATCTCCAGCCCTGAGCCCTCGGATTGAGACAGTTTGATAGGCACTTAAGCAGCTAACCCCAAAAACCTTATTGTAATGCTAATCCTAGGTTAAGCTATCTACTTGGTGTGTAAATTCTTTATGTTATGTCTGTGAATTGACGATATATAGGGTATTTTGCGGGTCGACGCGAACCGCTGACTGACGGAACTAAATCGAAACTGATTTTTGGTTACATGCGCTGTTTTTCTTGAAATGAAATGGGGGCTCTGCTGTTCTTGCTGACAAAAAGTGATTACATCAGCGGTGAAAATAGCCGGGCGACGGCGTGTTAACAATCGGCAAACACGGCAAGCGCGGCCAGCGACTTGCTGACTACTTTGCTGACTAACTGCAAAGTGCGGCCAGCAAGTATCGTCACTGGGAAAAAATGATATAGTAATTATTTCTTAATTTTAGGCATGAATGCATTGTTTTTTTCAATTTTCATACCAATGGTCTAAGTTCAACTTCATGCAGAAACTTATAATTTTATTAAAATATTTTTGGCAATATTAATATTTTTTCGACTTGATTATAGGCAATTGAAAACATTTTTTTATAGTTTAGAATTTAAAATCACAAGAAAACAATCAATGAAAATAAGATATTGCTTATTTATTGAATTTACTCACAAAAAAGTGTGTGTAAAATTGACCAAGGTGGATAGTTAGGATCTTTTAAAATCATACGCTTTGAAAGATGGTAACTCGTATTTTGCTGATTAACTATGTAATCATATATTATCATATTGACAATTCGATGATTGGGGAACCTTTTACTATCATTCGAAAATTTTACCAATCAAATATTTTTGTGTGTAGTTAACTTTACTGTTTTTTGTGCAGAGGATGGCAGAGGGGCGTTTCGGTCGAAACTAATTAATTAAGTTGCTCGCTTAGCGCTGCGCTTTCAGTGCTTTCTGTCAGCCTTTCTGGTCTTTTCGATTCTCCAGTTTCACCGCACATGTTCGTTGCTAATTGCCCTTTATCAGTGTCGCGCCGGAGAGCAAACAAAACTATCTGCGGGCCCCGAAAAGATAGCGTGTAATTGCCTTTCGTGGCTCGATTTTACATTCATTTTGGCCAGGCCAGCACCTCTCCAGTGGGCGGCGATTTGCGGCTTTTTCGCATTTTCGCATTTTCAGCATTGTTCGATTCCGCAGCCAGCGCATTCCAATAGATCTGTCAGAAACCCCTTCGTTTTGTTGCTGTATTTTCAATTGTTCTGTGCATGTATCTTGTGGATACGGCCGTAGTAAATAGGTCGCCAGCCACATGGCAACAAAAAAGTCGCTCGCTACAGGGCGACAAACTATTTCATTTGTAGCCTACAAAGCGTATCTGTGAGCTTTGTTAGCGGCAAAAGCTCCTATATACTTCGTATCTGCCAGATACTTTTTACATTTTTCCTGCTTTAATTACACAAATTCTGGTTTATTACACACGATCAGGGTTCTTGGGATATATATGCATACATTTGTGTATGTGAAACCGACTTTTCGGTGAGTAATGGTGTACTTGTTTCGTTTATCTTATCTAGGTTTTGAGCTTTTTCAGCCGCCTCTTCTGTTTCTCCACTCTTTTTCTCTGTTTGCCTTTTTCTATGGCATCCAAATAGCTGGACAGGCAACTCACACAGATACACTTTTTCGAGTGGGGAAAGTAGGTCAATTACACGTGTCGTGTGTGTATGTACATCTGTATTTTGTATTTGCGGCATACGTTTGTACATAGTGGCTTTATGCTTGGCCAGCATAATCAAACAAGCGCTTTGTTGTCGCTTCTTCGTGGCCCGATCAAAAGTCTACCACTTGCCCAGTTCTCCATTCTCGGTTTTCTCTTTTCCTTTTTTTTTCTCACTCTCTGGTTTCTTTTCTAGGCCAAAATGCTGCATTGGAATGGGCGTTCTTCTTGTTTATCTTCTGTGGAGTTTTATGGAGGAAACTCGGACCGGAGATAAACCCGCTGGCTAGATGATAAATTGGGGGCACTTCTATGTGCTTCTGTTGTGTATACAACGATTGTGAAATTTTCACTCCTAAACATTGTTTTAAAGTCTGTGGAATAGTTTAACATACCGAAACATTGTTTTAAAGTCTGTGGAATCGGTTAAAATTATAGATCGAATCTTCAGAAAGTCGCTAGCATCTCTTTGGTCGAAATATCTTTTATTCAATAACTCCACTTATTCCATTTTTATTTCGAAATTCTGAGATACTTATAGATAATACTTAAACGCTTTTCACTTATATTATATTATTGGCTTACCTTCAAAAAAAAATTGAAACTAACTTCAAATGTTGATAAAAAACCCTTAAAGATATTAATTTACATAAAAACTTGGAAGAATCTTGAGAATATTATTATCTTATACTGCTAAACAAATCAACTTTCAGTTGCTAATTTGAATGTTTTATTCTTAGGACATGTTCCCTAAAAATAGTTCTCTCCAAAACTCCCTTCGGAGTGTTTCGTTCCCGTGTGGAAAGGAAAGGACGTTGAAAGGACAAGGAAACCATTGGAATGTGCGGGGGTGGATACAAATTATATATATATATATGTACCTACTGCGAATGGCGCAATTTAGTCGGGGGGGCTGGGTTGGGTTGGGTGGAATGGTGAGATAAAAAAGCGCCGAACTACTATATGCCCGCAAATTGGGTCAATCGATAAAAGAGGCAGCGACGGAGGCGGCGGCGTCGACTGTGGCACATGCGCCAAAAGGGGGCGGGGTTGGGTGGGTGTGGTGCCCAAGGAGCTTTTCCCAACGTTTTTCCTTTTTCCGAGAGCCTGTTGTTGGTAATCCAATTGTAGGTGGGCCAGAAGCGTTCTAAATATATGTACCCATGTAATGTGCATTACACATAGGGGTCATGTGTCTTATATACTGAGGGGTGTATATATATGGAATACCCTTCCTGCGTTACATGGCTCGCAATATGGATTACATCACACGAGGTTCTGCAGCCCGGTTCAGTGTGTTTGTGTCTATGTGTGTGCGACTTTTAATATTTTATAGGGCAGCTGTCACTGCTCCACTTGCCACCCCCAGTCCTCCGAAAACCCCCGAAATACACCCAACGCAGCCACTAACTGCGGGCTCGTAAAGCGGAGTTTGGGGCATATTGTCATTCCAAGCTGATAAAATAAATAAAGGAGCCGTAATGAATGTTTTTCTTCCAGGGCTGATTAAATTTTTGCCAGCAATTCTAAATATTTTATCCCACAAGAATGTTAAACATTGCGGTGCTGGCAAAAGTTCCACTGGAACTTGCAACTTTATTCTCAGCGGTCTAAAATTGATTTTCTAAGTGCTGCAGGCCATTTTATGTTCAAAGTGGCTAAAAGGAGAACAACTTTTTATTTTGTTGTGGTGACACAGAAATCTCTTCAGGAGAAATTTTAACGCAGTCCTCAGGTACATCATTACAAGTTCCATCCGACTTTTACTCGATAAATGTGTATGTATAAAAAATTAAAGGGTTGTAAATTGGTTTAGGATCTTAAAGTAACTAAATTAGCAGCCGGCGCCCGTAAATTCAATTTCAAATTAATTAACTGTCGCAAATGAGTGTGCCATTTTCCTTAAATTAATTTTGGTGAAGGTTCGTCAGTCGTACCTCCGCAGTTAAAAATAAAGTAGGGCTACATTCTGTATAATGTATGAAAGTTTAGGGGCCATTTTTTCGTCTGTTTGTTAAATTTAAAGTAGGGTTTAAATCTTGAAATTGTATGGGAAATCTGGGTTTTAGCCTTCCTTTAAATTTAACAGACGGACTAGAAATCGGAGTTAAATTAATGGTAAAAACATATTTTCTAATATCAACAGCTTTTTTATGCAAATATTTTTTTTTTAATTTTTAATGTACAAACGTAACTGAAATGGGGCCAAATTAATACATTTCCAAGTCTGGCAGCACCGATTTCGCTATTTTACATCTGGCCAGATTTGAATGTAATGTAAATATTTTTAGCAAAGGCTCAAACCGTTTTACATACGTTTTATTTTTATTCTGTGTAGAAAAGTTACTTTGGCGGGTAATTCTAATTCAAATTTGTTTGCCCACACATTCTCTTCGGTCAGAGTATCTGCAAGATAAGAATTCCACCCGATAATCAAGATTATTCATCGAACACTGGCTGATATTATTTGAAATATATTTTATTGGTAGGCAGTTTTGAAGAACATTTGTAATGACATTTATATATAATGAACATGTTTCAAATAATCATTTTCATCTCGCTTTCATTTTGCTCGACTTTCTCCCATTTGTAATATTCTTCTATGTATGTATGTATATAATAAATTTATTTACTTTATTATTATTATATTTTCCCACCTCCTCTCTAATCCTTTGCTTTGTTTAGTTGCTGCGGTTGCGTTTTCTTTTGTTGTCGTTTACCTATTATGTTGCTCTTTTTTTGTTGTGGTTGATTCTTAATTTGGTTTTTGTTGTTGGTTTTTTTGTCATATACCTTGTAAACTTATGTAGTTTCATATATGTATAATTTATATATATATATATATGTGTGTATATATAATGGCTTACTATAAGTTACTTAAAAAACATTATATAATAAATATTTACTCGTACTTTATGTATGCCTCCCCTTGTTTCCGTTCATTTTTGCCTACTCCTTGCTTAAAGTCCAGTGCTCAGATCGGCTATATTTCTTTGCACTTCCAAGATTTAGTGGAATTTAGATCGAAATTTAAAATGGAAATTCGACAGCACAGTGTGACGGTTCAACTATCGGTGATTTTAATCTATTGACTGATCACACTGTCCCTTTCACTTTTCGCTAAACATTGTCGATCTGAGCACTGGGCTCTACTTCATATATTTGTATAATATATGTATGTATATATATATATCCTTTTAATTTTATTTATCAATAATTATTACCAATATCGTAGATCACCAAACTTGTTTAAAAAAATGTTTACACGAAATTGTTGTTCTTGTTTTGTTTTGGTTTTTTCTCATTTCTCTGCGGATATTTCGGTATCGGTTTAGTTTGGGGACTCGGTTTCGGGGGATTAAAGTTTACACTTCTGCTCTGCCTCCTCCTCTCTATCCAAGTTTTTGCTCTGACTACGATCTTCGGCTTTGATCTTTGATGGATGATGGCTGTAGTATCTATATAATTTGCGCTCTCTTTTCATATCTGCTATGCTATGTATATGTTTTGTATCCGTATATTCCTATATTCATCTATCGTATGCTTTGCTCTAGTCATAAATATTTATATATATATAGGTCTATGTACAGAGAAGTACACACTGGGGTTAATTCTTCGCTCGGTAGTGCTCGACTCTTGATTGAGACTCTTACCATTTAAATTCATTTAATCTGCCATCATTTTCATATCTTCATTTTCATTTCGCTTGTGAGAGAGAGTGTGCCTATATTGAGTTTACAATTTGCTAAATTACATTATTCGAGTTTGGGGCTTTCGTTTGTTAGATTTATTTGTTATTTTCGCTAGATTTTGTATAGAAAAAGTTGTCGAAGCTTTCCTTGCTATCCGTTAGTTTCGTATTCGTATTTGTATTTGTTTTTATTTTTTATTTGTATTTGTAAGTAGGGTACACGACGGCGGGGATAATATGATTAAAGTGTTTACGGCAATTACTATGAGTAGATAGACCGTTAGTTCATGTTCTTATTCTCAGTTGGTTTTGTCACTGCTGCTGCTGTAATTGAGACTATCTAGGCTAACAATACGATACGTGGTAAGTTAAGTTAAGTAGTTAAAGGCAAACGTTTCATCTTCTATAACTGGAAATCGAGATCGAGATCGAAGGTGAAAGGGAAAGTGACTGAGGGACCAAGTGACCAAGAAATCAACTCGAGGCGTTAGGAAATCGATTTCGAAATATTGGTTCATATGATATCTGGCTTATCCTCAGTTAACATGAGACTAGCGCTATCTTGATTCGGATATGTTGGCTTCCATCTAGCGTTAATGGATCGATTTGTTGTGGTTTGTGTTCTCAAAAGGGTGTTTTAGTGTTTAATTTGTGGGTGGTTGTATTGTCAACGTGGTGTGTAATTTGTTTTTTTAGCTCCAGTAGCCAGAGTTACGTGTTCTAAGGTGAAGTTTGTTCGGTTTGATTTGTCGATAGTTAATTGTTCTCGTGTTCTCAATGGTCTGCATATAGATTGATGATTACATTGTAACGTATATAGTAAACTTTCATATATTATACAGTTTCTGTTATGCTTACATAACTAGACACTTATGTACACTTCTGTCGAACATGAAGATGCTACTAATTTTTACTTGACTCGCGAACTCGTATTGTTTCCTGCCCTTCAGCTGCACCGTAAAACCCGAGGTTCCTGGTATAGGAACTTTTTGGGGAACTGTTTTGGCGCTAGAGGGGCGAAAAGAAGGACCCTAACTTATGTACACAAATCGAACGATCGCGAAACTGAAATCAAAGCAAAGAGTGCAGCTCTATCGTAATTTAGTTGGTCGTTAATCGATTACCTAAGTGGGTGGAGGGTATCTATCAATTGAACAATCGATCCCTTCTCGTTTTATTACGTTATTACAATGTGTGGAAAGATCTGAGGATAATTTAAAGCGCTAAAGAGTCTCCCTCTAGGGTCTACTATCCTTTCGTTCTTGGGGCTATGATATAGGCTTGTATGATATGATTGTGTTGTGTCTTTAGCTTCGTCTCTTACTGAATGTCTTCGTGTATGGTTTTCCTACAGTAACCAAAAGTCAAATGATATTCTAATGATAAGCCCTATAATTAAACGAACTTTGAATTTCCATTCTATCAATATTCTTGCTTACACTGGCAGTGATAACTCCTCCATACGTCGTTCTACGATTCCTTTTCCAAATTTGTACCTCCTTCTAAGTAAATTATAATTATAGGAAACGAAAATACACTCAATGAAAACTCTAACTTCCTGCTAGTCAAATATTCCTGCTTAGCTAGGTAAATATGCAGTATAGGGTATAAGTCGTTTATGTCCTATAACAATAACACTTTCCTAAACCAAAAGCAACGATACGAGTGACCCTGGACTAGAGTGGAACTATCGATCTACTATAAGTACTCGTTATAATGCGCATTCACAGCTGACTTGGGTAAAGCTTGCGTACTGGACTCGATCTATTTAGTCGGGGGCTAAGGAACGTGGGGATATCGTGTAGATTTAACTAATTAAAATAGAGATTGCACTTGTTTGTAGTTGATGTTCGAGTTTATTTTTATCGATAATATCCATATTAGCTGATACGAATGATAGGTTCTCCTCTTCGGGGTCTATATTGTTAGTTCTTTGGTACACGGCTAAGGGCTAGGCAATATAATTCTTTTAATCGTATTAATTTTACATATGGTACTCGTATCTATATCATATTTGTATTATCTGTGGTTTATCATTTATTGCTCTACATATTGTATCCGTATCTGTGTCAATACTTTTTCCGTTATGAGTCTGATGCCAATGCTTTATGTACAGTGTGATTGTGTGGGCGTATGATAAGCCGATGTTCATGTTTGACTAACTATAACAGAGGCTAGTATATACTATATATCCTCGACAATTGTAAGTACATGCTGCACTTTGGGTCCAAAGCAGCACTCAATTAGTTGCTTCCTTTCAGTTGTAATGCAATTACTCCTTTGTTTTCCTTCCTCTTTCGATTTCATCACATTCGCGCAGTGGGAAAACTAATGGCAGATGGGTCTTGGGGTCTTGGAAATATTATGGGATATTATGCAGTGGGATGCAGTGCCCGAGGACGTAGTCTACGTTCTGCAGCTCCGACCGACAGAGAGAAAGTGAAGGACAGAAAGCTCTCAACGGGGAAGTTGTGTCTTGGCTAACGATAAACTTTAAGTTGAGTTCGAAAAAGGATTGAGTTAGTGAGTTAGAGAGAGTTAAGAGAGTTTACAAAAGTACGCTATACGAGCTGACTTTTAAATGCATCCACAATTTGAGTATAGCGGCAACCTAATTACACAATACAAATATCAAATAATTTGCATTTCGCATTGCATTTACATGGTGTCATTTACAAATGTGTGTGTGTGTTCGTGTATCGAGTGTATGGGTGAGTCGTAGAAATACTGCATAGTTGGTATTGGTATCGGCATCGGTAGTATACAAAATAGTAGACAGTGCTTTTGATAATTTCTTGCTGCTTTTGGTTTTCCATTATCGCTTTGGGTAAATAGTACTGGTGTATTCCTTTTGCCTCATCTGCATCTGAAGATGTGTGTATGTTTGGTTTTTCGGGGGCACTGTTTAGAAAAAGCTCTTCAAGAAGCCAGCTGGCCCAGCCTAAAATGGGATAGATAATAGAGCTTTAGGGATATCCAAGGTTCTCTTATAGTAACCATGAACTTACATCCTGCTGCTGCTGTTGCTGCGTTTGTGCTTGTTTGACTTTGGCTTGAGCGATCTTTAAGGCTCTAAAAGACAGAAGATTAATTTGTTAGACAGTGGTCAACGAGTAAAGGTAGCGGATCACTCACTGTTGCAAATCCATGATGGTCTTCTCCTTGGCATTCTGCTCCTCCTGAGACATTTGTACCAATTGCAGCAAACGCTCCGTTTCGGTTGCCGCCTTCTTGTGCTCCTCCTTTGTGTTTTGCAGCTCTTTGACGCATCTAAAACGAAAAAAATGTCGTATATTAATAAGTAACGAGTATATTAAAATATAAAAATAAATCCTAGGCCTGGAAAAATCAACCAAAGTTACTAGAGTGTTTCGTATATTCTATCCACCCGAGGGCGCCAAAATTTTGAAACACTTTTGTACAGACACCCATTTATAAGTTTGACCAACGCTAACGCTTTAAAAACTAGGTAAGAGTAAAGAAACCGTTTATACAAAATAAATTATCCCTATGCGTCGAAACAAAGTAATTCGGGCTTGGAAAAATCAACCAAAGTAACTATAGTGATTCGTATTTTCTGTCCCCCCGGGGGCGCCAATTATTTGTTTAAAACACTTTTGTACTATCAATCCTTTTTGAAATTTGACCAACGCTAACTCTTTAAAAACTAAGTAAGAATAAAGATTAAACAGCTACAAACCGTTTATACAAAATTAATTATCCCTATGCATCGAAACTGAGCAATTGGAGTGTTTCGATTTCTCTAACCCCCCGGGAACGCCAAAAGATTTGAACACTTACGCTTCTAGCTGACGCTGCGTGTCCATGAGCTTCTTGTTCAGCTCGCCGGCGGCCGCCGCTCCGCCTCCTTGTGTCTGGAGGGACTTCTCCAGCTGGTCCATCTGCTCCTTGCGCTTTCGCAACTGGACGTCAAACTCGGACATCTTCTTCTCCTTGTCCTCGATGTCCTTGCGCTTGGCGTCGATCTGCTTGCGCTGCTCGTCGATGATCTTGCGCTCGCCCTCGGTGGCCTTGGCCTGGTTGTCGATCTGCTTGCGCACCTCCTCGAGTTGCTTCTGCTGCTGCTCCAGCTGCTGGCGCTGGACATCGGTGGCCCCGGCGCCCGCACTGGCGGCCTGCTGCAGTTGTTGCATCTGCTGCTGAAGCTGTTGCACCTGCTGTTGCAGTTGCTGCACTTGTTGCTGCGACGTCTGGAGCTGCTTGGCCTGCTCCTGGTTGGACATCTGCGATAAGGATACTCTCGGTTAGGGACTATAATGCAATTTTAAAGCCTTAACCCACCTTGCTCTTCTCCAGCTCGGTGACCAGGAGCTCCAGTTGCTGCTGGAAGCGATCCCGCTCAGTGCAGGCTGCCTGAAGTTCGCCCCTGACCTTCTCCATTTCCTTGGCGTCCGCTCCGCCGGCACTGGCTGCATTCTGTTGCTGCTGCTGCGCCGCCTGCTGTTGCTGTTGCATCTGCTGCTGCATCTTCTGCATCTGGGCGTGCTGATCCTTGATGTGTTGGTCCATAAGCTAGGTAAATTTCATTGATAAATTAGTCAAACAGTTGAAGCCTAGCCTATAAAGTGTTTTTCCTTGTTAACATATCGAAAGTAATTCAACATTCATTCAGAATTTTCAACGCAGAACCCAAAAAATAATATTAAATACTTACATATTGACATAAAAAATGTTATTTAATGTGTGGTATTAGAATCAGAATATTAGGTTGTGTTAAAGACAAAACAGAGTCTTGGTGCTCGGTGTAACCTGGAGTGGCCTGCACCACATCCACACGATCCTCACCTGAATGCGCTTGTGCATCTCCTGGGCGGCCTTGTCGGCCATGTCGGCGCGACCCTTCTCCTGCTCGATGACCTTGCGCCACTGCTCGATCTCCTCGCGACTCGCTCCGGCCGCCGCTGCTGCGGCCTGGGACTGTTGGGGCCCGGCTGCCTGGAGGGCGCGCTCCGACTCCTGGAGCTTCTGCTGCAGCGCCTGGATCTCCTTCTGCATGGCCTGGATCTCGGCGGGAGAGGCTCCGGCGGGAGGGGCGGCGGCAGGTGGCACTTGGTGTCCATTGCGCAGCTTGCGGTTCTCCTCGCGCGTCTTCTGCAGCTCCGCCTCGGCGTTCTGCAGCTCCTTCTGGAAGTTCATGAGGATCTCCTGGCTCTTCTCCAGCTGCAGCACCAGTTGCTCCCGCTCCATGGCCAGCTGCTTGACGTCCGACTCCAGCTTCTGGACATGCTTCTCCAGCTGTGGATGGGGGGCAGCGCCTGCTCCAGCTCCGCCACGACTGGATTGACGCAGGGCTTCGCGTTCGGCCTCCGCCTTCTCGAGGCGATCGTGGAGACGGCCCAACTCAGCGCCCATGCGCTCGAACTCGATGCGCGTGGACTCGGTGTTCTCCTGCTGCTTGGCCAGATGCATTTGCGCCTTCTCCAGTTCCTTGGCCAAGCGACCGGCCTCCAGCTCGGTGGCGTCACGCGACTGCAGCGCCTTCTCGAGGCGATCCCGCAGGCGGTCGATCTCCTGCCGCTCGCCAGCGGACAGAGCGGATGAGGAGGACGTCGACGCTCGGACCGGATCGCCGGGGCTCACCGAGGACTGTTGCAGGCGCAAACGATCGACCTCCTTCAGCAGCTTCTCGTGCTTGTCCCGCGCCTTCTCCCGCTCGATGTGGGCCCGCTCCAGTTCGGAGCGCTGCTTGTCCTGGTTGGCCAGCATCTTGGCCACCTCGCCCTTGGACAGCTCCAGCTGCAGGCTGGTCTCGTGCAGCTTGGACTCCATGTTCTGCACCTCGTTCTCGATCTTCTCGTACTTGTCCTTGTACTTCTCGAACGACTCCGACTCGTACTGCGACTTGCCGCGTATGGTCTCCAGCTCCATGAGCGTCTTGTCCAGCTTCTCGCGCAGCCGCTCGTTCTCCTCCTTGAGGCGTCGCGTCTCCCGGCCGAAGGTGTCCGTGTCCTGCAGCTTGCGCAGCTCCACCTGGCTCTTCTCGTAGCGGTCGCGCATCTTCTCCAGCTCGACGGCATAGTGGGCGGCCTCCTCCTTGGCCGCCTCCACGCTGGCGCCCGCCTTCGTTTGGGCGGCATGGGCGCGCTCCAGTTCGTAGGTCACGCGCTCCAGCTCCGACTGGAAGTGATCCTTCTCGCCCTGGGCCCGCCGAATGTCCGTCTGCAGCTTGTCGAAGCGATCGCGACTGTGCTCCAGCTCGCTGCGCGCATTGTCCTCGCACTCCTTGGCGCGGCTCAGCTGGAGCGCCGCCCGATCGCAGGCCTCCTGCAGCCGGGTGCTCTCGTCCTGCAGCTTGCGCAGATCCTCGCGAGCCTTGCCGGCGGCCAAACCTGATCGCTCCGCCTCCACCTCGAGCCGAGCCCTATCCGCTTCGGCCGTATCGCAACGCGACTGCAGGCGATAAATCTCGTTCTGGGCCCGATCGTACTTCTCCAGCATCTTCTCGAACTCCTTGTTCGAGGTGTCCTTCTCGTCGATCAGCTTTTGGCTGGCGTACAGCGCCTTGTCGAGCTTCTCCTTGAGGATCTCCACCTCGGTGACCGCATCGTCGCGCTCCATCTGAAAGGAAAGTAATTAGGTACATCTAGGGTTATATCCAGGAACTCGAGAATGTCATTAAATGCAGCTACAGATTTACACAAACAGCCAATTGTTCTTGATTTTTTCAGTTCAGTTCTCATGCGTTTTTCTCAAACAATATGCAGTACAGACAATGTAGTTTAGTATAGAGTTTAGTTTGGGGGTGAAGGCCAATTGTTTTGGGTTTTTGTTTTTGCGCAGTGGGAATACCTGATGTTTTTGGGGACTGGGTTGACAATTACCTGGAGTTTCTGCTGGATAGCGTGCGACTTCTCGTAGCGCTCCTTCAGGACCTCCAGATCCGTTTGCATCGCCTCCCGATCGCGGGCGGCCTTCATCAAGAGGGTCTGCGCCGATTCCGAGCGCTCCTTGAGCGTCTCCAGCTCGTCGGAGAATTGATCCCGCTCCTTCTGGATGCGGCCCAGTTGCACCTGGTATTTTGTAGTCGTGTGTGTTTATTTATTGTGAGTGTTGTGGGGTGTGACGGTCGAAAGATAGTTACGCATACGTAGAGATATATGTTAGGGATAAATAGTTTTAGTTATATACAAGGCGGGTTAGGTTGTATAGGAAATTCTGGGGTTAAGCAATAGCAGTCACATCGATCTAAGCGAGGTTTTTGGGTGGCATGTTAGTTTATAGTTTATCGCTGGGGGTTAGCACAACACACAGTTACGTTTACAGTCACAGGTTTTCGGTTAGCTAGTCTCTTCGAAGATGGGTGTGTTTGTGGGTGGGGTCTGGGAGGTCTGGGACTGGGACCCGGGCATACCTGCGTCTTCTCCAGCTTCTCGCGAATGCGATCCGTGTCCAGGGAGAGGGTTTCGCGCTCCTTCTGCATCCTGGCCGCCTGGCCCAAGGCCTTGTCCAGCTGCGACTGCAGGTTGTCGTAGTCGTAGGTGAGCTTCTCCTTCTCGAGGGTCAGGCGACGGGTCTCCGTGCCGGCCTTGTCCAGCTTGTCCTGCAGATGATCGACCTCGTTCTGGGCCTTGTCCAGCGAGTTCTGCAGCTTCTCGTGCTGCAGCTGCGACTTGCCCAACGTGGCCTGGGTGCGCTCCATCTCCTCCTTGATCTTTTCCACCTCGGAGAAGGCCTGTGCAACGGAGGGTGTTTTTTTTTAGGGTGAGTGAGTGAGGATTGGGGTCGTTGGGGGTTTCGTTTGGGGTGGTTAACTGTTTTTTTTTTTTTGCCTACCCGATCGCGGTCGGCGTGGATGCGAGAGACACCCGCTCTGCGCCTTCTCCAGCTCCTGGCGCAGACTCTCCTGCTCGCCCTGGGCATTCTCCAGCTTCGCCTTGAGTCGGTACACCTCGCCCTGGCTCTTCTCCAGCTTCTCCTGCAGGGCGGCCGCCTCCTCGCGTGCTCTTTCCGCATCCGACTGTTATCGGTTTTTGTGGCGTTTTTCATTATCATTCGATCGTGGAATCGAAGGGTTTTTCATGTTGTCGGGGGGGCAGAGTGGATGGTGGATAACGGATATTATTTACAGGCCATTATGTGGGACAAAGGTTCTTAAATGACTGATTCGACTGACTGACTGACTGACTGAATGTCTGACTGATTAGTAGACACGGAACAGAGGTTAAGGTGACGAACGACAAATATAACGACAAATAGTACTTAAATTACGATAACGATAACGATTACGAACACGATCACAACGTCTAGCGAGCGATAGAGAGCGATTTATGCTGCGAGCGAGCGGCTGACACTGAGAGAGATGTAGCGAAGGAGTCGAAATAAAGAGGAAAGTGGATAGTTCGGAGAAAACAGCTTTTTGTGGAACTGGTTGATGGATGTAAGAGATAGCTAGATGGTATCTTGGGAAATATTTGGCATTGAATTAAGAAAAAGGAGACGTCATGATATAAACATACAATAGATTCTAAGGAATAAAAAGTATTTATTTATTTAGGAAAAGATATAAAAATATGAGTGTAAAACGTGGAAAAGTAATGGTAATCTTGGAAACAGACGGACAACGAATATACTTGATAAAATTTAAGCCTTATGTACCAAATACGATTCTAATGAAATGAATTCAAGAAAGGTTAGCAAAACAGATAAGAAATTTCAGCCTAATACGGCCTTTCATAAAACGAAAGGGTAATGCTGGGTAATGGCTTGGAACGGACGGACTGGACCAACTTCTTATGGGGCACATGGCGGGCATTTCGGAATGAGTTCGCGATGGAGTACACAACCACAGATGGCTCATTAGTGCAAGAGGAAAATTAGGGGAAATTAGAGAAAGTGCGAGAGCAAAGTAAGGCAAAGTGTGCGTTAGAAATGCTAGCGGATGTGTGGGTGTCAATGTATTTGTGAGAGCGAGTGAGCAGTTGAGTCAATTAACTTTTCGCCTCCTTTAGTCCTTGTACGTGTTTGTGGGTGGGTGTGAGTCCAAAGGAAAACGCTCCGGGGAGCTGAGCTGCTCTAAGGATACTTTGTCATACTTTGCTTGCATCCGGTTTTCGGGACAGGTTTATTTTTTTTCGGAATACACCGGAAGTGTGGCAGATGAGCTCGAGGCAATATCGTACAAGGTCAATCGATGTATGTTTGTATGTGTATGCTATATTTATAGGCATGTGTGTGTATGGGTATGTATATGCTGGTATGGCAATGTTAGTACATCAGGCAATGCAAGTTACATTAAATTGAACAAGTGACAGATTGCAACTAGTTTTGGTTATCTTTTTTTGGGTTTTCTTTGGATTACTTTGGCATAGTCAGATGCAGTTCAAGTTTGCAATCGAATTCAATTGGGGTTAGTTGCTTAACTAAAAACTTGTTTGATTGATTCATTGTTTGGAAGCGGTTTACTCACAAAACGTTTTTCAGTTTCGCCCTATATTTAGAGAATGAATGTAAGCACAACGGTTTGGATAGAGTTTGGTTTTAGTATACATTGTCTCGCAAAAGATTTTTCTTTACAATTACATTTACAGTTTACTAATACATTTACGGTTACGTTAATGATAAGGCATATACGAAAGAAGCAAAAATAAAAGGAGTTTTAACTTTATAGTCTTGTAGTCCCTAGCTCCGTGAAAAGGACTCTGCGTGTTTTGGCCATGTAGCAAGTGCTCGGGTTTTTGTGTAGTTGGGATGGCATGTTGCAGCTGATAGATAGTGTGTAAAGTGTGTTTCGGGGGGCGAAGAAATCTCCTCTTTGCCAGGCGAAAGTTTTCGGTCCATCAACAAAGCACACGCACACCGAGATATTTATATATAAATATTTATAGAGAGAGAGGTATCGTTCATATGTACATATACACACACACAGATAGTTGTATATGAGAATTGCACTTGCACTTGCAATTGCGACGAGTTCGGAGTTCGATTTGTACATTAAGTATACGTAAATAATATGGGTAAAGCTAACTAAAAGAGCATTCGGATATGCATATCGATATATGTATATGGCTGTCTCGGTTCGCAGGCAAATGGGGAAGCAATTGGACCATACCTGTGTGACTCTCAGCTCAGCCTGGGTGCGTCGCAATTCGGCCGAGGCCTTGTCGGCCCTCTCCTGAGCTCGATCCAGTTCCTGGGACGTGGTCATCGTGGTCCTGCCAAACGTTGTCTTTCGTCGGGAAACGGGAAACATTCAAATTAGTTGGTTGACCACAATTTTTGGGGGTTTAACAAGATAACGAGTGCAAAACAACAATCGAAAGCAGTTCAAGGCATTAGCAAATGTGTGTGTTTACAAATGACGGTTTCGAATACGGATGATGATGATGATGCATGGATGAGTCCAGCAGGCAAGCTGTTTACAATGGATATGTATCCAATCCATAAAGCTGCAAATGATTCAATGAGATTTTGGCAACCAATATTTCGCTTTTATTTCTTTTGCTGTGCATTTGGGTGCATTTGACGCTTGGTTCTCTAGGTTCGAGTTTTTTCGATTGGGCTGCTATTGCGCTAAGTGTTTTTGGTCTAGGAGTCTAGGTTAGGCTGGGTCAGCGGCTTTGGCCGACTTACCGATATCTTGCCCGTTTCGAACATTAACTTTTGTACATTCTGCAAGAGTACGATACGAACATATTTATATCTTAATCTTAGGTTTACGCTTAAACGTATGTATGCATGTTCGGCGGCAATTCAACTTATTCACACCTCCGTTTGTCTGCACAGCGATTAAATCAAAACCCAACTAGGCGAGTGCTGCTAATCCTGTCTAAGTATCTAAGTGCGCAATATGTCAGGGCTCTATCGGATCTGAAATCGTTGGTGGTGGGTGGTTGGCTAAGTAAGACTTCAGCCTGCTGGCTCTAAATGGCGAATGAAAGTTCAGTTCAGGGCAGGCAAACAAAAGATATACGGTGTTTTGGGGTAACGAGTGCTAGTCAGATGGTACGATATATGATATACAATATGTGTTTTTGCGATACATAAAAGGTGCGTTTTTGCATAATAGCGATATTCGAGATGTTTTCGTTGACGACTAGTTACTAGTTACATTTTAATTCGTTAGAAAAAGAAACCAACGAGTTACTTTACGATATTATGAAATGCTAGTTGAACTATCTCAAAGTGAAAACTCTTTGCAATTTCATGATACATACGATGGGTTTTCAAACTTATTACTCGAAAACTACGATTTACGATATTATGCAAACTAGTTGGTAATTGGAAGTTTGGAATTCGGATCTTTGGGCTTACTTTGTGTAGTGTGGTCTGTTCTTCTAGCTGCATCTATATTTGGTTTATGTTGGGTGAGTTTATTTTATTTTTAGGTTGATTGGTTGTTGTTGTAGTTATTATTATTGTTGTTGTAGTTGGGTAGTTGGGATGCGTAATGTGTACATGTAAATACATATTCAGATACAGATATATAGATATAGATGTAGATACAGATAGATAGCACATAGATATGTGTATGCATATGGGTTCATAGATTATTGATAGCAGTAAGTATGTATGTATGTATGCAAGTCTCTCGGTTATATGTACACAGCGCAAACATACATATACATACGAATAGACTGATGATGATAAGTAGTTATTGGGGGTAAAGTTATTATTTCTGGGGAACTGGTCATAATGCACGAGTACCTGCGAACGTTCCAGATCGTGTTTCAGCCGCTCGTTCTCCAGCTCCAATCGAGCGATCCTCTGCTTGGTGGACTCCCAGTCGGCGCTGCTCCTGCCCATTTCGCAGGTGGCCTTCTCAAGTTCGGCCTTCGACTTGCCCAGTTCGCTCTGCGAGGCCTCCAGCTTGATCTCCAGCCGCTCCCGCTCGGTGACCGCCCGCTCGAGGCGCGTCTGCAGCTTCTCCACCTCACTTTCGGCGGCCCGCAGCTTGATCTTGTAGTCGGCCACCTCGCGCTCATGCAGATCCCGCTCCTCCTGCTTCTCGTGCTCGGCGCGATCCCGCTGATCCCTTAGCTGCGCCATCTGCTTCTCCTTGTCGCCGATGGCCTCCTCCAAGCTGGTCAGGGCGCCCTCGGAGCTGCTGTGGTGAGCCTGCATGGCCGACAGACGGGCCCGCGCCATGTCCACCTGGTTGTCCTTCTCCTTGAGCAGATCCTCCAGGTTCTCGATCTAGTGGAAGAGAGCGGGGGTTTGAGGAGAGAGCACCCGGAATAAGGATTGCCTAGAGATGACCTAAACGCAACGAATGCCTATTATCTGGAAAACTCTGCTGACCTGGTTAGCGTAGATAATTGGGTAAGGCTTATCTGGACGTAGTAGCTAAAAGCACATTGGTTCTAATATAATACGAATTCTATAATGCTAATGGCCATTTCGATAAATGTTAAGAAACCCTGTTAAAAATTATTAAAAAAAAAAAAACAAAAAAAAAAAAAAATTTAACTAAAATTTTTAAATTATTATAAATCCTTTCAACTATTGTTTTTTAATTTGGAAAAAAATTAATAACAAAATAAAAAAAAAAAAAAATATTTTATAAAACCTTTCCAATATTATTTTGATAGTAATCTTAAAAACTTTCAAAGTTTTTAGAAGGTGTTCATTGAAGTTAAAGGTCTCGGCGTGACCCGAAAGTAAATAGAAAATCTAAGTATTCCTTCCAATAAAGATCTTTACAGTAGAAGTCTCATTTTAACCCTGTGTCCTTTTCCAAATAAATAGTCTCCTTTCTTATATAGTACCTCACTAGACATAGGGCGCATCTTTAACTAAATTTCTGGGATTGGAAAGGATGGGGGGATAGTCAGTCTAACCTTGCGCTGCAGCACGCTGATCTTGCGGTCTTTGATGTCCATGTGGTCCTTGAGCTCGGTGAGCTCGCTGGTGAGGCGATTGCGCTCCTGGACCGTCTGCAGGGTGCCCTGGGTCTTCTTCTCGATCAGGCGGTTCTTCTCCTCGAGGCGGGCGCGCATCTCCTCGACGTCCGTCTGCAGCATGTTGTAGTGCTCCTCTTTGGCACATAGCGACTCCTTGAGCACCGCTATGTGCCGCTGGTAGTCCTGACGGGAATTACTTTACTGTGCAAACGACAAACTGGAGCCCTAGCGTTTCAATTTACCTGGTGCTGCTCCTCGAGGGTTTTCATTTTGGCCGCCATCGCCAGGATCTCTTGATCCCTTCTCTGTATTTCAAGACGGAATTCGTCCAGCTGGGGGTCATTACGGAGTAGGGAGTTGGGTGGTGGTTTTCGGGTTGGTTGGAAAGGAACAAGTACAGATAACATTAGATCAGAAAGTGTTGCCACACATGGGGTTGCCTGGGCCAGGGGAGTGATTAAGATCCATAGCCAGGACTACAAATACTTGGTGGTTGGTGTTCTTGGTCTGCTTGTTGTCTCAAAAGTATCATTTGCTGTTGCAACTGAGTGTGAAATGAGCGATTAAGAGGTGCGGACAGCGAGCTTACGCTTTGTAGAGAATGAGAGTTGGTGGATTGTGGATTGATTAATGTCTTGGGCCCCCCAAAATCCCAGATTTAGGGGTTAGTTTGGTACTCCTTACATCCTAACCGCCCTCGTTGGGTGTCCTTTTTCGGTATTTTCGTGTGGTTGGATGGTCTGTTTTGGTGTATGTCTGTTGGTTACTTTTGGTGGGATCGGAAAGTGGGATGTTCTAGTTATTGGTTCGGTTTCTTTTTCGGTACGATGCACGATGTTCGACGTTCGGTTTTCGTATGTAATTTTATTGTTTGTTTTCGAAAAGTTTCCATTTTATAATGCTTACAGCTTAAGTTAAGTTTAACAGATTTCGAGAATATTCTTGCTTGTCGGAATTAAGTCTGAATGCAATCTTAATTAGGTTTACAGTTAAATCATTGTATAAATAGTACATCCCGTGGGATCATAAATGTATATGCGTATAATCAGAATATTAACCATAATTATTCAAATACAATACAAGTATATAGAGAGTTATGTATAATGTGTATATCTTATATCAATATTCAAATGCCTCATTTTTTCTTGTTCTGTTCGTCGTCTTGTAGAAAAAGGTTACAAATCAAACCGAGTCAAAGAGAAGAATCAAGTTTGGCTGAGCAACAAGAACAGAAGTAGGAAAAGCTAGTGGATAGTATCTTTGTATCTATTAATCTATTCACACGCTCGCACCGAGTGCTGTCTTTCGAATTGGCTAGTGATAAGCTTTTTATCTTTCGGTTACGCTCACATTCATTGATGTACATATATGTATATATAAACAATTGAAAAAGAGTTTATCTATGAACACAATCTCTGTTTTTTGTTTTTATTTTACGATTGCTGCATATTTTAGGGGTTCTCGAACTACCAACTACGACTAGGCAAAATTAAAGTAACTCCAGATTCACTTTCCCGATCAATTCGTCTAGTATATATTTAAACACTACTTTAACAAGAATTTTTACTTTCTTTGAGAAATATCTATGCGTAATTTCGATTTTCAAGCACAAAAAACAAGTTAGCACGTTTATAATCGATAGTCCGACTAAAAGGTATTCACTACTCAAATGCATTGGGAAAATCGAATAAATTTTTGTTTCTTTTGGGGCATAAAGCTGAACGAAATGTTTGCCAGAGGTTCAAGGGTTTAGCGTTCTATATATTTTGTATACTTATCGATGCCTACCGATTTATGAGTGTATAAAGCGCTTCTTCGAATACGAAATACAGTCGAATACATAATAATACAATATAATATTCGCATAGACACATTTTGAATGCTTCTTCGTTTCACTTTACTTGTTGTTGTCTCAGACACACAAAAACTAATTCAAACAGGTCGATCCAAAGCGATTCGATTCGCTCAGATTCGATCCCCACCTATTCGGTTCTAGATTGCACATATAAATTTCCATGTTTTCGTTCATAATTGACCTTCATTGCTAATCACACGCTAGTTCGTTTATAACTCTTGCATTTGCTTTTGCTGGGGAAGGCTTTTGGGAGAGTTAAAACTTAGTGTTACAAAGTGGAGGCGGAAGAAAGTTAAGTTAAGTTAATTCAAGTTAAGTTAGGTAAATAATGGCTCTATGCAAATACAACTTATGCCCACTAATGCGAGAGAGAAAGTTATAATTGGATTAGGCTCTGGTTAGTTAGGTAGTTAGTAGGTTGGGTATAGGAGGAGGTCCTCGATGGCGTGGAAATACTATGACCATGCAAGGGTTCGTTACTTATTCGCTTATGCTTAGATATAGATAGAGTGTGTGTCTGTGCTGCACTAACAATTGGCTAAGTTGTCGAATGTTCATACTAAGTACGAGTTACTCTATAGGTTTTGATTTAATAAATTTTAAGCTTCTTGTTTTTTTCGTTTTCTTTTTCTTTTTTTCTTTTTTATTTTGTTAGCTCGCAAAACTTGCAACTTTCACAGGCGAGACAAGTTTAAAGTAAATGTTATTTCATTTCGCATTTCTCCTTTTGTGTATATATAAATTGTTGTTATTTGTGAGTAAATCTCATTTAGTTTTATATACAGTCTTTTACTTTTGAGAGTCAAGAGCAAGGTTCTACAATTTCCAAAAAAACATCCACAACAATTTGAATTCTCAGCCGAGTTCTCGGCCTTCGGTTTTCTATATGCCCTGAGTGCTCTATGCAAAGAACAGAAATCAAAATGGTAAACTAAAAATCAAAGTAACTTTAAAGTACTTTCACTTTTTGTTTCGCTTTTACTGTTGCTACTTTAAAATGGCACATGAAACAATAGTTCTCCTCCTCCACACTCTCCATTGCGAACTTTTCTTAGCCTAGATCTACTAAGAGTAATCCACTTTATTATCATATATGTTGTATATTGTATGTATAATACTTGGTGTCTTATCTTCTCCCTACGCGAGAACTGGTTGATGCAGAGGAAAGCGTTAAATGCAGATCGGCCAGCCGTCTATATCTATATCTATGTAGATATTCAGACGGTCGGGCCTTCCAATTGGGTTCGTTCGTTCTCTGATTGTTATATATTTATAGGATGCTAATGCTGATTGAAGATGATCATTTTCGATTTATCGATGGTGGCGAATTTCGATGTTTTGGGGGTGGTAAGATTTCGGGAATGGGGGTTCGGTATCGATTTGGGTTTCATTTAGGAGTCTAGGGATAGCGTGTCTACGTCAAATTTAAAACTTACTTGTCGCTTATGCTCTTGCGGCAGTTTCGGGTAATCTAAGTCTAGTTTCGAGTATGGCAGATGGTGGTGATGGTGGGCTTGATGCGGCTGCTGCTGCTGATGGTGCGAATGCGAGTGCGGATATGCCGTGTGATGCGAATGATGCGAGGAGGAGTGGTGCGGATGCGAATGCGGATGCGTATGCGTATGTGAGTGGGCCGCATGATGCAGTCCGTCCACATAGTCCCTGGCACTGCTGGCCAGCGTTCCGCCGAAGGGTCCGCTGGTGTTGGCCAGCGCCGCCAGCGGATGTGTCTGCAGGTGGTTCTGATGCTGGTGCACATGGTACTGGTACTGCGGATGCATCTGCTGCTGCACCGACGCCTGGATGTGCGAGTGTCCCAGCGGCGGTCCCTGCGCTCCGCCCCCATAGTGCTGCGTTCCCGCGAACTGCTGCTGCAGGTTGTAGGCCAGGGCGGCTCCCGCCGTCGCGGATCCGGCTCCCTGGTTCTGGTAGTACTGCGAAATGGCGGGATTGGAGGCGTGCAGCGACTGGTGGGCCATCAGCTGGCGCTGCTGGAAGGGGGCCAGCGGGTTGCCGTAGCCCAGATCGCTCTGGTACGGATTCACCCCATAGCCCCCGTACTTGCAGCCATAGCCCGCCGGATTCGTGGCCGTCGTCGGGTAGCTGGACACCAGATTCGTAACAGAGTAGGCGGGCCGAAGTCTTGCAGCCGCTGCAGCGGCACTCTGGGCCGCCGTCAGTTGCGTGGGCAGCACTTGCTGCACCTGCTGCGCCTGCGGCTGGAAGTACATGTTCGGCTGCGAGGAGAAGCTCGTGGACATTTGCATTAGGTTGTCGTTGAGGTACGGCGGCGATGTGTCCCCCGGATGCAGGGTGGGGTAGCTGGAGACCACGCGGCCCAAGCCAGACATGCCCACCGGTCCGCCCAGCGGCGTCGTCACCAGCTGACCCAGCTGACGGGCCTGATTCGTGAGATTAAGGATCTGTGAGCTGCGCGATATCGACTTGTGGGCCTCGTTCAGCAGATTCACTATATTCGAGGAGCTGGTCTGCTGCAGGGGCGGTGCCGGATAGCCGTAGACATCATTGTACATGGTCGCCGAGGGCAGGCCGGCAATGCTGTAGCGCCTCCTACGGATCGGTGAGGTCTGGCACGGTCCGTAGATCTGGGGATCGTACAGTCCGTACCCCCCGGCTGCCGTCGAGGTCGAGGGCCCGTACAGATCGTAGCCAGCTGCCGGGCCGTAACCATTGCCCGAGCCGTAGGACAGGGGACCCGGACCCAGACCCAAAGTTCCCGGGCCGTAGTACTGACCGATAATGTCCGGCAACGGGGGACTGCTTCCAGTGGCGCCCGAATAGGAATTGTACATCTGAAACGGGCGATTTCAAATGTTTGGTTGCTGTAACTGCTGTGACTGACTGACTGACTGGTAGTTGGGTTTTTTTTTATTGGTTGGTTGGTTTTTTTTCTGGTATCTGAAATCTGTGGTGTCTATTTAGAGAGCTCTCTCTTTTTGGGTCTGTTGTTGGGTCTGGTGTTATCTGTTTTGATTTAACGTCTTCGATGCGGTTTCGCTCACGCAGCTTTTGGCGGTTTTTACTTTTGATAACATGATCATGATCGTGGCTTAACAAACATTAGCTATCTGTACACATGTATATATAAAGGTGGTTGTTTTGCATATATGTAAAGTAGAGATATTTTTGAATTGGCTTACATTTAACATAGCGAATGCGATTTTTGCCCGAAACACTTACGGACTATTCTGGCCCCATATTTGAAACGTCATTTATTTTCTTAGTTCTTGTTATCATTATTTTTGTTGTTTTTCTACAAGTTCTTCAGTTTGTATTTGATTTTTATTTGTTTTCGACTTTTCGACACTTTTTGCTCTTAATTTACAATAGGGTTTTGTAATAGAATGAGATTGGTTAATTATGAGTTATGATTTTTCGGTACTGTTTGGTTCTCTTTTCGTTCTTTTTCCATTGGTTAACTTTCGTTTGGCTTTATATGGTTAGTTATATAGTTAGTTCTGAGGCACTTTCAACGGCTCTTGTTGGCACCCAAAAAAAGTTCAACAAGGGCGGGGGGTTGGGCGTAGGTGTAAGTGTGAGTGTGTGTATGAGTGTAATGCGTGTGCGAGAAAGGGGGTGTGGTTTGGTTTTGGGGGGCGGTTGGGGAGGCGCAACATGAAATGTGTGTCACTTGGTTGACAGCCACGAGGATGTCGCTGGTTTTTGTATCTATTTATGTGTGGATGGCTGTATCTTTGTAACTGAGAGTGTGTGTGTGTGGGTGTCCCTGTATGAGAGTTCATATCTGTGGGTCGATGCTTCTCTTTTGTAGCTGTATTTGACTTGGTTCGTGTGATCAACGTGGCATACAAATGCAACTCGGATTCTGATTTCGTATTTCTCAGGTATATTTTTGGGTATCTGGTATCTGGTATTTTTGTTTTGTACAATTTGCTTTCGGTATTTTGTTTGTACGCAGAAAAGAAACATAAATATTCGTATAACAATATATAGTTCAGATGCATTATAGAAATAACGTGCAAAAGTATATTTGTTAAATAATTTGGTTCGGTGTGTTGGAGAAAACAAACAAAATATATATTCATATAGTTGTTTAGACAGACAGTGAAAGAGAGAGAGAGAGTGTGTGTGAAAGAGACAGTCAGAGATTTAGATTGAGTTAGAGAGAGACGGTTACAAAGAGACTTATAGAGAGAGATAGATGAAAAGAACGCAAGTTGTGTGTGTCAGACATAGCAGAGTATCTTTTCTTTTCTTTATCCTTTCTTTGTGAAAAGTGTTTTCTCCAGTGTACTTGTTGTGTTGGTGAGAGAGGGTCGGAACTGCGTGTGTGTGTGTGTTCTTGTGTGAGTGTGCGAGTGGAACCCATCATGAAGAGAGTGTTGTAGTTGTTGCATTGCGTGTTGTGTGAGAGTTTGATTTCGATTTTGATATCGAGTGGATCCGGTCAACGTTCTTAAGATTAGTTGGTAAGTCCGATATTTACAAAAACCAAAAAGTAATATATCATACACAAACACGAGCACACATCCATATGTGCACACAGACACATGTGAATGTGTGTAAGTCAGGTGCAACGACACGGCAACAATTGTTGCCTATTTTTCGGCCTTGGAATCTGGGTTTTTCTTGAGGGGCGTGGGACGGAAGATTGGGTCTTTCGGGTCTCGGTCTGTCGTAAGCGGAATATAACGCAATCAATATCAAAAACAACATACTGCAGAGTAACATATTTTTGGATATATAGTTATAGTTGCTGATATTCGTATATATATAAAGAGCGACAGAGACAGAGAGAGAGAGAGAGGGAAGAGAGAGTGAGTGGGAGAAACAGAGACAGAAACAGAGAGGTAGGAGTATATATTCATATGTTTGTTAGCCATATTGTGGATATATATACACGTCGTAATTTTTTTATCATTTTATCGTCAAAGAGTTGTCAGTAAATGAAAGATTCGCTTTCTTCTTCTTTTCTTTCCTTTCTTCCGTCTACTCGAAGTATTAATCAATTTGTTATTGCTTTCCTTTTGGTCTTTTTTTGTTATTTATATTTATTTTGATATTATTTTTTTGGTATCGTGCGAAAATATTACAAAAGCATATTGTAAATAGTTGCATACGTTTTTCGATTCTTGGTAAACAAATTTGTTTTTATAATTGTCATTGCATTTCTTCAGATGTTTTTTTGGTTCATTTTTTTTGTGATTGCTTTTAGAACAACAACAAAATATATGTTTTTTGATGTAATTAAAAAAGATCAATTCTGGAAACAAATATATATTTTGAATTCATTAATTGAGTCGCTTGATTTGGTTATTTATTATTCAAGACTGCTTGCCTACGTTTTGTGTGGATTTAATTTTGGTTCATAAAGCCAATTATTGGAGCCATTACAATCGATAAGTTTCGTGAAAAAATCATCTGCATCTTTTGGCAATAAAATGACAAAAGAATTATTCTTGTATGCTAAACAGATCACAGTTCACTAATGGTTTGTTAATTCGTATCTGATCATTTCAGTTGGGATTTTGCTTTCTGATTTTTGATATATTTTTTTTAAATCTTGATTTCTAAGGTTTGCTCTTTGGTGTGTTGGTTAAATGTTATATATTACTTTTTGATTATGTAAGAACAGTAAGAAAAAGGAGTTCAAAAATCAGCGTTCCGTTCAAAATGCTAAGTTTAAAGTTTAACAAACATTGTGTGAGTGTGTATGAGGGTGTGTGTGTGGTGGGGTCATTAAATAAAATTAAAGTACAAAGCGAGTGTGGAAAACTATACTATATACTATAATTAAACGATTACACAAACAACATTAAGACACAAAACACACATTTACATATTTTAGGGCTCGGAGTAAAACAAAGATTAGTATAAATTTGGAAAACGATGCCAGTAAAGAGAAAGAGAGAGAGGGAGAAGGAGAAGGAAAGCCCAGGTGAGCAGAACACTTAAAATAATGCCAAGAACTTTTGCTCACCCACGCACACACACGAACACATGGAAATGGCGAACCGAAATAACAACATTTTGGTTACAAGGTTACGTATACGTCACGTGTATTTGTGTGGGACTACAAAAGAAAGAGAGGGGGCTACAATGGCAGAAAGAGAGATCGAGAGAGAGGGAGAGAGAGAGCGAGTGAGAACAAAGCCAAAGTAAGAGGCGAATTCAAAGCCGAGTGGGTGGCTGGTTCTGTTTGTGTGTGGGTAAAGTGTGTTAAGTGCCGAATACATGTAGCAGAGTGTATTTTCTGGCTTTTCAACCATTTTGTTGCTATTTTCGTTTGTTGCGTGCCCAGCAGAAATCATAAAAATTAAAAAACCAACACATAAAACGGAGTACTGCAAATCTGAAGAAAAAGACGGGGGAAAACAATTTTAACTTTTATGACTCCTTCAGGGAGAGCGAGAGAGAGAGAGGTAGAGAAGGAGGAAATCAGAAGGAGCGAGGGAGAGGCAGACTGCACCCCCACGACATTGACATGTGAGCACATCACGCAGAACAAACAAAGAGCGGGCGAAAACATTAAAGTGGTCGAAAGGGGGAGTCCCGCTTTTCAATGGGGATCCCCTTTTCCCTCGCGTTAATCATGACAAATCATCACGTTCACGTTTCGTTTCGTTTGTGCTTGTGTTTCTGTTTTTTTTTTGCGAGCAAGGCCAGACAGAGTCCTTTTCCCTATTGTGTCCTGTCTGCCATCCACTACCCATAACCCCTAACATCAAAATCCCTTCCCCCCCATTCCACACTTTAACCCATTGTCAGTGGCTGTCCCATCTTTTGCCTCCACGCACGTGCCTGATGGAAATGTATTTCAAGTGACATATTATGAAGTGCATCCCTGTCGGCTCTCGCTTTTTGTTGAATTTCGGTAGGCTTTTCTGTTAATGAGCATGGATGCCGAAGGGTTAGGGCAAAAGGGGGGCTAGGGGGTTAGGGCTATATGCGCCTGTGCTGTCTATATACTTCTTGCACTTTTCTGCAAGTTCGCCCTGTTGCCGAATTTCACTAATTACGCAGAAAAGCAGGCAATGCGCTTTCCCCTTTTTAGCCAGCATTAGTGCATGTGTATGTGTGTGTGTTAGCCTGAAAGTCTGTTGGCGTACATGCTGATATATGCCATTGTATGTGTGAAATTTAATTTGCAACTCGAGGCCACAAAAGGACAGGCTAAACAGAAGAAGTTTAACCAGTTTTGTTTGTTTTGCGTGCAAGTTGCTGCACATAGGAAAAACTATAGAACACGAGGGTCACTCTTAAGTTTGTCAGTTATTTATAAAGAGTTTTAATTCCAAAAAAAAAAGTAAAAAAAAAATCTATACCTTTTTTTTTAACGGGAACACTCAATGACCAGATAAAGGGTCCCAATAGGACAAATTTCAAAGAGAATACAAATTTTCATTGTCAAATTGTATTAATGAAATATTTAAAATATTTTTGAGACAATGAAAAAAATGGAGGTTAATATAATATTTTTTCCTTTTAATTAAGATTACTGAATTACTGAATTTATTATTAAGTTCAAAAGTACAAAACAGGACATATTTTTCTCTGTGCGCAGTTTTTTATAGCCTTTCCCTCTCTCTTCGAAACTTTGCCGTCTTCCAACCGCCCATCCTTCTCAATCCGCCCTCTCAGCCCCCTTTTGAGGAGTTGCTCATGTTACGCCTTGACAGGACATTTAAATGGCTTTTGGTGTCTGGGTGCCGTTAGAACGCCTACTGCACTACGGCCCCATTGATGGGATGGGATAGCCATGCCTTTGATTTACACTACACCCATTGTACCATAACCACCCCTGGAATTTCCACCCACAGACATTTCGGTTAGATGCATTTCGTCGTTTTGGTTTGGTTTGGTTTGGTTAGTTTGTTATGCGAGTTGCCTCTTGGCTGATTGACTTTTGAATGAAGTTGAAGGTTCTTGTGTGCTTGATGATGAGTAATGACATTTCGAGCTGAGCTGATTTGATGACTGGATGATTCGCTGTTGGTTTTTCGTGGAATTCAGTTGCCGCAGTTGTCTTTTTGTCTGACTGACTGGATGATTGGGTGACTGTTTCCGGTGGGCGTTACAAGTACAATAATACCTTGTAGTAGACATAGGCATTGTCCATATGTTTCTGGGTCTCTCGCCTGGGTCTTTAAGAGCTAATGTTGCTGCAATTGCAATGTTGCAGGTTGCAGTATCGCAGTAATGCAGTTCTGCAGTTCCGCAGTTCGTTGTTCTTTAGGCTTACTTCTGCCTGGCTGCTATTTATGTAATTTGAGCTGCCCGCCGTTGTTGTGCGCAGGTGTGTGTGTGTCTGTCAGTTGTTGTAATACAATAATAGACTGCTTCCCCGTTACTTTTTACTTTTTGCTATTCTTTTTCTTTCACTTTTCCCCTGTCGTTGCTCTGGGAAAACTTGTATTTTCTTGGCGCTGCTTCCTGATTCTTAGCGCTGTCTGCTTAATGCAAATGCTAACGGGAGTGTAACCTTCTGGCCCACCACACACACTCGCACATTCTCACTGGGAGAGGGGAGTGGGGACGCACACAGACACTGCCGCACACACACAGGCAGACAGGACGACGACGAGCTATAAAAAGAAATTGTTGTTTTTCTCGTTGTCCTTTGTTGTTGCTAGTTAATGTTTGCTGCGAAAGATTTCGTCCTTTTTTTCGGCTGCTGCGGCTGCTTAAGCAAAAATTATTGATTTTATGCTGCCACTGCTGCTCTGCTTTTCAGCTTTTCTGCTTTTCTTCTGCTGGTTTTCCTGCTGCTTTTCCTTCAGCTGCTGCTGCTGCTGAACGATGGGGATGCAGGGATTGAAAAATTGCACTGGCACTCTCGATTTAAGCTATTATTTTCACACAGACACAGACATTTACAGGTAAAGGCACAATAATGAAATGGTCGACATTCCCTTTTATCTACATCCTTTTGCGGTCAAGGAATGGAATTTCCATTTATATATTCTTCTTTCTCTTTTCGTTTTCCACAGCACACGCGTTCGCGCCACGAATTTGATTTTCTTTCGCGAATCTATTTGAATGATGCACGGCGTTCGTGTGGAATTTTTCGTATCCTAGCACAATCCTAATTCTCTTGGCTCTGGCTCGCTGCCCACTACACAAGTTTTTTTGTCATTTGCTGTGCCAAAAACTTTCTTTTTTCTGTGCGACTCTCGACGCGCTCTACTCGCTTCAGTTATCCTTTTTTTCGGTCCGTATCTCGGCTCGTCGGCTGGAGCGTTGCGTGTACAACTGTTCGCGCCTGCGGAGCTTTTGCGACCACGAGGCCACTCAGCAGCATGGCACATCGCTCATCCGCACCGTGGCTCGGCCACTCGGCTCTCTGCTCGCGGCAGCTCAGCTTTCACTCGTCTCCGCTCGTCACTCAATTTTCGGCACTCAGTATCTCGGTTTTTGGTCCCATTCATTGGGCGCCTGGCATTCCATTACTTGGTTTTTGGAAAATAATATGTGTTAATCACATTTTTTATTAGTTGATATAGTTACAAATGATGTAACGATTATTTAAGTTCCTTTACCCAACAAATTTTATAAATATTTTGTCACTAGAAAATTTTATTCACCCTTAACCTATATTACTTTTGTACTTAACACGCTGTTACTCTATTTATAGTTCAAAATCTGATCACATTCAACTAATTTTCGTGCTCGTATTTTTAATCTTTTTTATGCTTAGCTTTCGTCACTAGACTTATTATTGTTTCATTACAACCTAAGCAAGGACATAAATCATGATGCCCTAAGCTTTGGGTATTTAGCTCTCAGTCGGTCGGCTTTCGGCACCAGGCTAAACCACTCATCCTCTTAGCTTTTGGGATTCGGCTCTCCTCCCGATTGAGCCCTATTGCCCGTTTTACTCATTTTCGGCTCACAGGTCCAGTCATGTGGTCTGTGCCACAAGGAAAGCTCTGCAAGTCAGGCGAGAGCTTTTACGTTCATTTACGCTCAAAAGCTGGCGGCAATATTGATTGCTTGGCATGTGGGGGATGGGGTGAGGGCAGCAGGGTGGCTGGCAGGGGGAGGGAGTGGGCGAACTCGTTTTACAGCTACTCGCTGCAAGCTTAACCCTGCACTGGCTGCGAGGGCTGCGTTGAAACGGCCTTTCCTGCAACTGAAGGCCTGCGCATGGCATGGGCTGCACTTCCCGAGCAGCTGACTAGCGGGTGGTCTGCAGCCCCTATTTCCCTCCCCCACCCACCGGATTAGCCAATAACAAATGGCATTCCGGGGCAAACTGGCCCGCAAAAGTAGGCAACACTTTGCATATTAAGGCAGCTTCCATTCAATTATTATGCTAAGTGGGCAACTCATTAGGCAGTCATTTGTTTTCGGATATGCCGTCGCAAATTGAATTCCTGTGCGCCCGGGCCAATCGATAAATCGAAGTGGAAACTCCCTCGGAAGAGTGTCTCTTTGAATGCACTTGCATCAACTTAACGCACTTAACTTCGAGGGGGAACTTTAGTTTTTTTCCACCTCTGGCAAAATGAATGTGCGGTAGGCCGCGTAATTATTTTATGCCCCCGCAAAACAAAGAGCTCCGGCAACCAGCAGCATAATATATCAAGCGTTGAGCGAGGCCCACTGGCAACCATAACGAGTTCCCAGAACTGAGAGCCCAGCAACCAGTCGCCTTTCGTAACCCCAATGTAACCCCCTCGTAACCCCCATGTCTTCCGTGCTCCATTCCCATTATTATTTATGCGTATGCATAGGACGCAGGGCTGGCTCTTTGGCCGGGAACTTTGCATGGGTGTGGGTGGTTGGGGGTGTCGTGTGAGTTTTATTTAGTGACCTGCGAGTGAAATGCCTGCCACAATCGCTGGTGGTCGGTGGTGCTGGGCAAATTTAATATAGAGCTGGGCACTATTTTATGGTATTCCAGTCATGAATTAAAGCCCTGTATTTTTAGCTCTTAAATTTATGACATGGCACAATTTTCCCTGCTTTCCTGGCGATGATTAATCTATCCCTCAATTATAGCCAAATTTATGTTTTATTTACGCAATCTTGTTGGTGCAAATGGGGGTTCCGTTTTGAAAATCGGATTTATGTTAAAACCTCTTTCAATTTTAATTTATTTTTAAAGTATGTGGAATTATTATCCTGCCTTCAAACTGTTATAATTACCTATATACGATCCTTAAACCCCAAAGACGCTCCTTGTTTATTTTATTTAAATCCCCTTTCTTTGCTTTCTATTTTGTGAAACCTTCGTTGGTTCTGCCCCAACGCACTTAAGTCCGCTCCTGATTCGGCATGTGCCAATCCCCGTAATACATCTGAAGTCCCTCCGCTTACCCCTTTGGTGCCTGGCTTAGGTTGCTAATTAAAATTCAGCCATTGGCATCGTTTTGCATAGTTTCTAATTTGCCAGGGCGTTACACAGAGGAAGAGAGAAAGAGACGGGGAGAGGAGAGAGCGGGACAGGAGATAAAACCGAGTGAGGGCGAGCCAAACAACATGAATATTTGAATATGGATTTGTGTGGTCTGGCATACTGAGCAGCATACTAAGCTTTGGTCATCGGCAGTCGGGGGTTAAGACGGGCTGGATTGGCCCTAAGAAGGTCTTTAGCTCAGAGTCTTTTTGTTTTTTCTTATGTTTTTTTTTGTTGATTCTACGAGTAGCAAACATACACTCACCCTTACCCCTTGCTCCTCCTGAGCGAATTTCTTGATTTCACGCTCCAAATCAAGCTGTCTCGTTGTTGTTGTCGCCGTTGTTGTTGGGTTCACCAGAAGTGAGAAGGTTGAGTATCGCATAAGTTTGTTAGATTTGTGTACATATTATATGTAAGCGTGCTAGAGTGCTTGGCTTGGGTTTTTGCGGGCCGAAAATGTAAGGCGAAAGTTCGAGCATCGGGCAGACAAAGTGGCGTCGGTTAAATGGCCATAAGAAGTAGACAATAAAACCAAGAGGACTCTCGTAAAAAGTATATTCGCATATATACTATACACACATATTCCAGATATTCCGAGATACATGCGTGCCCAGGGCCTCGAGCCTTATATAAGAGTGCCAAAAGTCAGGGCGGCAGGAGTGGAAAAAGTCGATTCAATGCGGCTCAACTTGGGCCAACTTGCTAAACAAGATGAATTATTGAAAGTTTTTCAGGCCCCAAAAGGGGGTTACGGGGCGGGGAAGGGCTGTAGGCTGGCAACTGCAGTTTGCAATAAATAGAATCTGCACCGAAAATAGGAAATGTAAAACGCAGTGACCTCGAAAGAACTGCGCCAGCCGATTGCTCTCTTTTCCGGCCCTGTTAACGCGGCGTATACGCAACAACTTTTAATTGCTCGCCCGGCAAAAAATCGAGAAAAAAAGAAAGCCTGGCGAAATTTGTTTTCTTTTGTATGAACATGGGCATGTGGGCGGTTGTGTTTTGTTCCCCCTTAGTCCGGCTTTGTGAGCTGATTTTTAATTACTGCTGTCCGAGCCGTGTAACTATGCCGCATTTCCTCCGACCATTTGTTTGCTTTATCAGTGACAAATTAATTTCGAGCCTCACCAATCGCCGGTCAAGGCAGTTGTTGTGCTCCGTTCCGTACAATTGGTTTAATATAATATACCAAAAAGGACCTTCAACCACTGGCTGCAAAAAAAATGTACAAAGCATTACGCAGAAATAGAATGCGATTCCCGAAAAATGCCAGTGGGCAGCGAGCCAAAAAAAAGATCAGGAAAAACGCCATTTGAATACTCATTGTGCAGGGAATTCCATAGAAATGGTGCCCCCAAAAAGGATGTTTGAGCTTATGCAAATGGTTTTAACGCCACGGGGTCTCAGTGCAGTGCCCAGATAAAATATGACGTTTGAAATTCAGTCAAGGATAGTGGCCTTTCTCGGCTAATATCTGTCATTTTTTATGGCCATTCATTGATGTATAAAGCAGAGAGAAAATAAGCTTTTTTTAAGAACTGCTCTCACTGACTTTTTTAAACTAGCTGTTGAGCAGTCAATTATGAATTGATGGATACGCAAAGTCAGTGCTTAAACACTAGGTTATTCAAGATATAAACAAATAAACTGTAGATAATATATTTTCTAAAAGCCTTAAATGCCAATCGAATAATAACAATATTTTCCCATTTGTACTGGCTATTCCCTTTGGCCTTTTCGCTGGCCAGCGTCTGTTGTCCTTAAATAGATTTTGTTGCTGTATCAAGGTTATTTATGCTGCCCACTGGGAATGTACCCAACTGTCTGACCATGCTCTGGAAATGCTTTTTCCTATTTTCCTCCCGTTTCTTGTTTTTTCCTCTGCTTGGCTGCCTTTTGTTCTGTTTGCGCTTAATATTACGCATACGCCGTGTGTGCCTGTGTGGCAGTTTAGCTCGGGGCAAACATGTAATTAGAGAGGAGGGGAAAGGGGGGCAGGAGTTTCGGATCAGTAATAAGCAGTTGGTTGTTTGCCATGTCCTTGGGGAGGTCGGTGGGCGAAAAGTTAAGCTGCAGTTGTTGCAGCAACTCCAGACTTATTTCAGATTGATTTCCCGGGGGGAGGCACTTCGTCTCCTCCACGCCCCTCGATAAATAATGGAATGCAACAATGGAAGCGGAGGGAAATGCACTTTTCCTCGAACTGCAAACTGGCAAATGCATTACTGCTGCATACATAAATGGGCCACGCGAAAGATGCATCCATTGTGGCGCCGAAAATCGAGATTTTATTGGGTGGCGAACAATGAAATGACTAAGCTGCCGTCAGAGTGTGAGTTAATGTGAGTGCGAGTCTGAATGTGTGGGTGTTTTTCAAAGGTACATGTGTGTGGGTAGTGCACTGCACTTAATGTTAATTTGAACGACGTTCATTGATGTTGACTGCCTCCACTGTCCTCATTCTCGTCGGCACAAAGTTGCAAATTAATTAAGCGACAACGGCAACAAGAACAAAACAGTAAAAAATATGCAAAACATGTAGCAAACTGAATAAAACGTGTCAGGCTCTGAGTTCTCGTGTGAGTGTGTGTGTGTGTGAGGTTTACAATGTGGGAAATGAAAAATCAACAGTGGAAAAGAGTGTGAAAACACTACGAACAACTCAAGCTTCAGTTGGTATAAAAGCGAACATCTAGGCTCTACTTCTTTTTTTTCTAGATTGTAACAGTTATAAAGCGGTATGTATATATAAGTTTTATGTGTGTGTGGGTAGGTATATCGAGTATATAAGGCTTAGTGTCTGCGTATGTGTCTTGGGTTAAAATAAAAGTTGTTAAAGTTCTGATGTTGCATCAAATGTTTTTGAACTCAAGATGCATAAAAAGTGTTTTATTTTTTCGTGTTCAGAGAGAAAGGGCAGGCGGGCAGAGAGGTAAAAGGGAAAGTTCTGCCCCTCTGCCCGGCTGCCCGTGTACGAAATCATTCTCTAGAGCATTGTTTGCCGAACGAAAGAAAATTAGAGAGATAGAGATTGACAGAGATATACAGAGGTAGACAGAGAGATGGTCGAAGATGGGTAGCGAGACCTCGTCCTTTTTTTTCTTTTTTCCGGGGCATAGTGGCAAGGGGCTCGAAAGCAGCTGATCGTGGCTTACCTGTTTCTGGGCCATGGCCTGCATTTGCTGAAACATCTGGCGCTCCTCCTCTTTGCCTGGAAATGGGTATCAGTTAGTTGATATGCTTTTCTATGGCTCCACAATCAAAGTCTTACCCATTCCCTTGGCCTGCAGCATTTCCAGTAGCTTCTTGATGCTCTCGTCGCGGGCAATCAGCGTTTGCTTCTGGGTCTCCACCCGGCACTCGAGATCCTTGATCGTCTCACGCAGGATGCTGATCTCCCGCTGCAAATGGTCGTTCTCCGCATAGATTGCCTCCATCTGCTGCTGCATCTCCAAGTTTGGCTGCCGCATCCGCAGGCGCAGCTCCTCCTCCAGCTGGCGCACCAACATGGCTTGTTTCTATGGAGAACATAATTTAACTTAGTTTCAGAAGAGATACAAATATCTGAAAAATCTATTAAATATTTATAGCTCTGAAAACTATAAATCTATGGAAACCTAACCTAATTAGAATGGTTTTATGTATATAATAAATACTATTTATAACATGACAAGCTCTAATGACTTCTTTTGGATAATTATAATAGTTTTAGGGGGCTGATAATTCGAAATGGTAATTGATGTGGGTGTGATGTATGGCAAACCCAATTTAAATCCTATATTTGTGTCCCAAACTGAAATAAGCATTTATTTAGGCAGGAAAAAGTGTGTCAAACATAATTTCGTTTAGTTTGTCCTGCTTCAAAAAACATGAATAATTACAGTGGACCCATTATTAAATTTAAAGACCTTTCTGACCACTCACCTGATTCTCCGTGCTGAGCAGCTTCAACTGATCATTGATCAGACTGTACTTGGCACTCTCCTCCTTCCGCAGTGCCCGCTCCTTCTTGAGCTCCGGCGACCAGAAGGTCTTGATGCTGTGCATCGAGCTGCCCAGCTTTTGGTTGGTCAGCTCCAGTTCCCGCTTCAGGTTGCCCAGCTCCCGCTGCAGGTCGGTGTTCTGGTGCTGCAGGTCGCCCAAATAAGCTCGATCCGAGGTGGGGCCCATGCCCGTGTTGTACCCACCCATGGCACTGGGACTCTGGCGCGCCGACCTGCCATAGAGCTCGTCCTCTAGGTACAGTCCCCGTTCGAGGGACCTGTCCCGGGAGCGATCGCGGGGCTCTCGAATGGGAATGAACTCGCGATCGTGGGGATCGACGAGTCCACCGCGATCCAGCGATTGGTAGCGGGTTCCTAATGAGAATATTTCAGTTTTAGTTTATCGGTCTCTAAATAACTTAGAATTCCGCAGAACGAATTTAGATCTAAGATCAAGTCTATATATTTCAAAGTCAATTTGATCCATATGAGGTTCGTCTATAAGTATATTTCTTATTTACTTTTTGAGCTTTCCAAATTTCATTAATTATTTTTAGCAGCAAAGTTAGACCTATAAGTTATCTCAAAAGACCCTTTCATTTACTTAACTATTCATTTGAAAAATTCTTAAAAGAGGATAATTTGAAGTTTCGTGATATTAATTTATGAATTATAAGAGCTCAAGGTCTCATCTTAAAGTAAATGTAAATGAATAATCTTCTACAATTGTAAAAGAACAATACTTTATAAAAATCCTAAAACTCAAGTATTTCATAAATCCTTAGTTATAAATCAATTATTTTCTATTATTTAACTTTGAATATATTTCTCATAAATGAAGCACAGATTGACTTGGATAATATAGAGATTTTTCAGGGCGCTTGGGCGGTCATTACTTGGATAGTCCATGGCATGGGCCATCGGTGGTCTGCTGGCGCTCCGGCTGCGATGGTGACCCGCTCCGGCCGGACTGGTTGGCTCATCCATGTCGCGGTAGTATGGACTGCCCATTGCTGAAAGTCACACACACACAGAATTCATGAGGATGACCAAATGAGGATGACAGAACGGACGGGTGGTGGTTTTATCTCTGGTGGTGGTTCAGGTGGTTCAGGTGTTCGGTGTTTTCGTTTCGGCTCCTCTTCCGGCCACCAGAACAAAAGGAAAGCAACCAAAAAAAAAAGTATACAGAGTGTTCTTTTTTTTCTAGAGGTGGCAACTAGTGCAGTGGAGTCTGCCTCATTTTCTTCGGTTTTTCATATTTTTTTCGGTTAGGTTAGGTTAGTGGCAAGGAACGCAGGTAACTTAACAAAAAAATGCAAAAGGAACATAAAGGAAAAGTCAACAAACGAAGGCTGGGAAAAGTGTTTGTCGTGTTCTGGCTTTGCCTTGCTTTTTTACTCCCACTACTAACAACTAGCAACCCAAAGCCCAAAACTCGTAAACCCGCTACTTTGTGTGTCCTGAATGTTGGCTCATATTTCAGCCCACCTTCGAGGGCCATAAACTAAGTTTTCCCCGGCACGAAATCATTTTGCACGTCCCGAGAACGAAACTAAATTTGCGGTTCCGCCAACGTCCTTGTTCGTCAGTTTTCAGTGTTTGGTGTTTGGTCTTCAGTGTTCAGTGCTCAACTCATAATAAATGGTTTATTTAAGTCCCCCCGAATGGCGGCCAAATGCTAATTAGCTGGCGTAATCAAGTGCTGACCCCGTTCAAGTGCAAAACAGTTTAGCTAACCATAATTGTAATCCAGTTTGAGGCTTTGATATCAAACGCGCGGCTCCGGGCAAAGTTTCAGCGTCGGTGATAGTTTCAAGGTGCACTTCTCCTTCTCCGCAGTGGTTGTCTTTGCGCCAATGGCTCAGCTGTGGGCCATTTCCCAGTCCCGGATTTCTTTTTCCCGCCTCTAATGCAATTTCCCGGCAGCTGCAACTGCTTTGCGGAAAATTCCCATCCAATATCCCCGCATGGAATTCAATTTGCATGTGTTTCAGTGTTCGGGTGTTCGAGTGTTCGAGTGCCGTTTTGTGTGTGGGTTAATTGAAATGAAAATCGGTTGAGATTCGCAGGATGAGTGAAGCGAAACGAAATACGAGATACGAAAAACGAAATAAATGAAAATCGAATCAAGTGAAATGAAATGAAATCAAATCAAATTTATGTACCATGCGCATGCGTGTGATGTTAGACAGAAATAATAGACTTTAGTTAGAAATTGCATTAGTTGAGTCGACTACAAATAGTACAAATTGAAATGAAAATAGTTATATATGGCGGTTACAAGTAGAGAGCTAGCGAGCGAAATACGATATACGATAATCTTGGAACAGAAGCGTTAATTTTGCATAATGAATTTTAGCGAATTTGGTTTAGGAAGTTGGAAATTGGAAACTAGAAATTTTAAAAATGACTTCTGCTCGGCAGAGAGGGTTAGTAATAAGTCTAAAGCATAGCCAATTGATCGTAATGGAGGGTGAAAATAATCAATGTTCGCAGGGCTCTCGCACAAACAAGTTACTTGGCCAGGTGATGGACTACGTTTGTGCTCAGATTGCGTGGACTACGTCCAGAGATTTGAGTTTTAGTTTAGGTTTCAGTTTCGGTTCAAGTTTCGGGATGGAGTGGTCATTCACCTAAAGGACTTCCGCGTGGAGCGCCGTAGTCCCGGGATGGGGATCGATCGACCGTCGGCAATTCCTGGAGACGCCGCACGCGACCCGGACTGCGCACACCAGAGCTAGTTACTGGATTATAATCGTCACGTGACATAATCCGCGGCTCATCCGCGGCATGCAATCACACACGGAGTGCAAGTGGAACTGGAAGTTGACCACCGCTGGCGGGCACCTTAAATGCAACGTTGAACTTTGATTTCGGTTCTCTGGTTGGTATTGGTTTTGGTTTTGGTATTGGCCTCTCGGTTGATATGCTCGGTTTTGATTGATTGATTAATTGATTGATCTATTCGCGACTCTCTCTCTCTTGTGCGGCATCTGCAAGTGGAAGAAGTGAGAAGAGAACGAAAAACATACACACAATACAGTACAATCTCTCGCTCGTGGTAAACAATATATAACATTACGCATACGCCCCGCTGCACGCCGAAAGCCAAGGCTCCTCAGCGGCTTCCTTCTTTGCATTTAAATTGGCTCTGGCTCAACTTGCATATCCTTAACCTTTTTACCTAAATCTAAATCTCAGCCAGAAGCTGTCTCACTACCGGGCCATAAGCACATAAACAAATACCATAAACAGACTCAAAAGGACTCAAAAAAAAAGAAAGGGGGCGGGATGGCTGCGGTGGAGCGAATACATCTCGCCGAGCATTGCATTATGGCCGCTCTATGCAAATGCGTGTTCCGTGGAGACGGCAACAAATCGCATGCAAATTGCCACTTGAGCGGTTGCTTCTCGGCTGAAAGGAAGTCTTTTACACAGAAGCTGCCAAATGGAGTTTATGCGGTACGTCTTGTATTGATCTTGGCCTGTCTTTAATCGACTAGGCAAGACGCTTTATTGGTTAGGAAACAAATCTCAGTAACTTTGGCATTAAAAAAAATTTTTTTTTGAGAGAGAAATAAAAAATCAAAATATCTTGCATGTAAAGTTATCTATTCAGAATATACTTTGGGTAAAAAAAGATTTAAAGACTTTTACAGAAGCTGTTTTCGTACAAGTATAATATTTATTTACAATAAGAAAAGTAAAACAGAATGGTTTTATTTCAAACTTGTATTTGAACAAAGAATATATCCGTTTAAAAATATAATGACAGTATCTTATAAGGATCTATTTTGACTTAAATCACCATACTAAACTCATCGGATTTTTAAAGGCTTTTAAGATTTTAAGTATTTTTGTAAATGTCATGAATAGCAATTTGCAATTAAGCCGCCCGCATAAACAATGCGACATGGCGATAAGTCGCAGCGGAATGTTGATGCTTTGCTCGCTCTGAATGGGCCAAGAGTGCGGATATCAACGGCAGCAGTGCGACAGCTGCAGCGGCTCAAATGAAAGCTAAACGAATCAGCAAGCCGGAAGCCCATTCACACGGCCATGAGAAGGAAGTCTCCGGCTGAGCCTGAGCCTGGTGCCTGGTGCCTCTATGCCAGAGAATGGCGACATAAAAAGATGGAGGAAGCGCCAGTAGATGAGGTCAGGATATGGCAGACAGGCCATAAAATATCAGGCCCAGATTCGATTACATCGCCATGCCATTAGGGAGCCCCAGGCACTGCACTTTGCTGGGCAAACATATCTGTATATATGTATATGTATGGGAAGGGGAGACAGATTGCACTTTGAGCTGCAAACTTAAGGGACCTGGAGCTAAAACTGGGAGCCCGTACGATTGTTGTCCGGACTTCGGACAGCCGGAGGCCATCTTATCAAGCTATCTGCTCCGGGGGCCTCCACCCCAAAACAAACATGTTGAATAGGCCCCGAAAAAGAAAGCGGAGAGGCGTCCCCGGAGAAAGCCGGAGAGAGAACTCACCACAGCTTGGGTAGTGCGCAAATGCGTAGCTCCTACCATCTCACAATTCCCCTTTCTCTGTCCCCCGCTCGCAACAATAGCGTCATCGTAAAATATTTTGCCGTATTTTGTTGTTTCCACTGCCCCGATGTATGGATTGGCGGCGTTTTCTTGGGCCACACACACACACTTCCACCCCCCGGGGCACATGTAAAATAAGGTTAAAATTTGAAATCAATAAAAGTTATTCGACTGATCTAAAATTAGAGCAGGCAACTCAAATAACAACCGAAAGAAATAAATAATAAAGGCAAACACCGCAGCATTGACACGCAAGGGGGCGGCTGGCCCAACCCCCCTAAAAAAGGGAGAAAAATGAAGAAACTGACAAATCATGCGGGCATTCGAATGCGTTGAGCCTGCCTCACAAAGAGCCCATCCACACAGATCTAATTATAAGTTTGCAAATTGCTTGCCAATCTCTGAATGATTGATTGATCGAACGGGGCGTATGGGTAATGCATGGAAAAGAGTCTAAAGTTACTCGCTAAACTAAGTTACTCGACTACGTTCTAGTACTCCAACTAAGTCTATTCAAACGGGGATCATAATAAATATATGGTTGGGACTCTTCATCGGTGGAATAAATGAAATCACAACAGATACGAACAGGAGATAAAGGAGTTGTAAAGAGAGAACGAAGGCAGGCAGAAAAACAGATTACTCATAACTGATTACGGTTAAATTATGGGAGGGAGCTCCTGTTACACAAGGCAAACGCACAAATCAGAAATCAATATCGCTTACGGTTCACATCACAAATTGAAGTTCTTTCTGTGTGTGTGTGTTTGTGTAGTATGTGTGTGGGTGTCGTTACGTATACGTAATATGGTTAAATAGCTCACCCGCTTTGCTTAGGCGATGAATTTTGAATGATTTTCCTTAACGAACTGCGGGCGAATGAAAAACTGGCCAATCTATCTGCTCCTCCTCCTTCCGAGCCTTCTGATCCTTCTGCTCCTCGACTTCCGCTTCCGGTTTTCAGAGCCCGCACACACTAACGCACTCGCGCTGCAACTACATGTGTGTGTGGGCGATTTGTTGCTCGGCTTTATGGCCGCTGCCAATGCAATAGTGCTGGTGACTGTGATTGTGGCTGTGATTGTGTTTGTGGTTGTTGTCAGGCGGCTCAATGGGCATTTCCGGTTCCGGTCTGCTAGCTGCTCGCACCAATTTAGCTTTAGTTTCGGTTTAGTTGACGTCGACACTGGCTTTTAGTTAGTTTGTTGACTTTCGTGGCGTGCGCTCGCTGGCTAATTGCATTTTGTGTTTATGATTTAAACGGCTTTTGTTGTATGTACATGGCTGTGTGGGAGGATAATTAAACCGCGTGAGTTTCCAGCTAAACTAATTAAAGTCTTCATTCACTTTGAGTTGCTTTTTGTGTGTTTCTTTTTTTTTCAAGTGGTTTTGGTGGCTTCGTGCTCAACGAGGATATTTTTTACACTCGCTCCCGCTGACACACATTCGAGACACACACACACACACACACACACACTGCGATACAGAGAGATACGGAGTTGAAGAGTGCTCCGCAAAATGGAGTGGAGAGTGTTCTACGCACGAGTTACGCTCACGAACAACGTAAGGTTCGACGTAACGAAAGGGGGTGAAGGAACAGGGGGGAGGTGGGGGGCTGGAGCTGAGTGGGTGGTTTCGGGTGGCCCAACATTATGCTGGCATCCCCTTCACCTTCTGCCACTTCATTCGCTCGGCTCTAGGCTCTGTTATACAGCTTATAGCTTTTCAAACCTAATGTCTCTTTGTAGGCGTATGTATGCGTGTGTGCCTTGGTGGGTGTGCGAATGCGAGTGTGTGTGTAAAGCTCGCATGGCTTATATGTAGGTTGAAGCAATTTATAATAATTTTTCTGCTTTTTGCCCCAATCGATAGGCAGCGTTTACTGGGGCAGATTACTCCTTTTGATTGACAGTGTGTGTTTGTACATGTGTCCCATACACATACACATAAATTCCTATACATAAACGTATATAGATATATGGATAGGGTGTATCTTTAATGGTTTCTTGAGTTTGTCACACGATTTTGGGCGCTGTGGGCGGCTTTTTGGCCTGCCCGTTTTGGTTTCAACTAGCTTTTTTGCACTTTTTGCAGGAAATCACTTTTCTGTATCCAGGGAGCAGCCTCTAGCGATATTGCTGCCATTCACGCACACTCACTCACCCGCACACACACTCACAGCGATACACACACATTAATGGGAAATTTATGAATTTTATTGAAGCACTTTTGCCAGTCAATGGAATTTTCTCGCGCTGTTTTTTCACTTTTCTCCGCTGCGAATGCAATTAAGTTGGATTTTTCTTGGCCTTATACATTTCTCAGCCAGATACATATACTGTGTGTGTGTGTGGGCATGCGAGAGTGTTGGTGTTCGTGTCAGTGTATGCGTGTATGTGTGTTCCTAACCCAAAAATGTATTGTGCGGCAGCTGAGGTGGCCCGTTTTCGGCAACGCCGTTGTCCAACTAACTACCCTCAAAGAACTGAGCGCCGCTCGTGCGAGCCAGTCGCTAATATAGTCTCCGATTCGCTGGCAAGTGGTGAGTTTTCCCACTTTTCCGCACTCGGCCAGCTCTAGGAATAGTGAGAGCGAGCCGGAGAGCGCGTGATTGCAATCAATGAATTTTCCTTTTGGCGCTCGCGCAGTTCCCCGAGTGCTGGCATTTCGGTGCGAGCTGCCAGCTTAATGGATTCCGGAATCCGGAATTCCAATACCAAAATATGAAGCCAGCGCATTGCGTTACGCCACCCGAAAGTGGGTCTTACGTACTGTTACACTTTTCGCGCTGGCAATGCTGAGCGCCAACTATTTGAACCTCCCTTAAAAGTAGACTAAATATATAACCAAAACGCTTGCTTAAGTGGGAAATTATAAGCCAGCCTAAAGACTTGGGATTACAGCTCGATTTAATTCATTTACCCTTTTCGTCCCTTTGCTCCAAAAATTATAGTTAGCTATTGCTTTCAATTAAAATATTTTTTAAAGGACTTTAAAAAATAATAAAACTTAATAAAAATATGAACTTTCAGATACATTTAATAACATTTTCTAAGAAAGGAAGTTAACATCGGTCAGCCGAAGTTTATATACCCATGCAGGTTTGCCTACTTAAAATGTGGTTTTTACAATGTCAAAAATCAAAACACCTACTTTCTACAATGTTTTTTCTATAATTTTTTTGTTTATTCCTATGGGAGCCATAAGATATAGTGGTCCGACATATGTACTACCTGCAATAGAAAGAAGATTTTTGGGAAAGTTTCATCGCGATAGCTTTAAAACTAAGAGACTAGTTCGCATAGAAACGGACAGACAGACAGACAGACGGACAGACAGACATACGGACAGACGGACATGGCTAAATGGACTCGGCTATTGATGCTGATCAAGAATATGTATATTTTATGTGGTCGGAAACGTCTCCTTCACTGCGTTGCAAACTTTTGACTGAAATTATAATACCCTCTGCAAAGGTATAATAAAAACTAAATTTAAACGTATTAATCACAGAAGAAATACAAAATGTAGATAATTCAGAGCTAGAAATAAACGTTTTATAATACTAATAACTTGTATTAAAATTTATATTATTATTATTGTGTGTGAAACAATTAAAATACTAATTCTAGGTGCCATTTGGGGGATTACCACAAAAATTTGCTCATTGTGAAATAAAGAAACTACAAGCGCTTTTTCCGCCAACAAAATATTTGGAATGTTATTAACAGAGCTTTCAAGAGAAGATCGAGAGAAAGCTCCTCGCTGATATAAAAATATCTAATCGACTAACTTTTTCTACAAAAACTGGTTGGATTTAAATTTAAATAACATCCACTAATTTGTATACCCGATACTATCGGCTTATATATTGGTGGCAAAGCGATTTCTGGAACACTATTAAAAAAAGGCGTTTAACGGTGTTCACTCTACCTCCGCTAAAAATGATCGGATTTCCATTTTGTTTTTACATTTCGCTTAAGAATTAAAAAAAAACACGCCCTCTATGTTTAAAGTTTAAGAGGTTAGTGTACTAATTTTAGCATAACTTCTAAAGTTTTTGTCCGATTGACTTAAAACATTTTTTGTATAATCTTAAAATGTTAGTTTACAAGAAAAAAATGATTTTTTTTTGCGAGACCCTACCCTCCTTAATAATAATCCCGACTAAATCATCAATGGCGGCTAGTAAAATACCCGAGAGGGGAAATGCAGAACTCTTTGAGGATGTTCTCAAATCGACTGTGGAGGGGTACTCAAAAATGCGGAACTTTAAGGCGGGAAGTGGTTGCGCTGCCAGCGACAACTATGTCACCGTTATGCTACGAGTTAACATAGAAGTAGAGTAGAGGGACTCGATGTAATGTATAGTAAACAATCTACAACTATTCCATTCTTTGTATATTCGTGATAATGTGATCAAAACAACCGAATTAGTTAAAGTGCAATTAGAAAAGCTTGCTCGGCAAAAACAGAGAGAATGCCCACTTGTTCCACGAACTGAGGTATAAAAGCTCCCCAAACGGATATATAACTATTGATCCTCCCTAAATGGCCTCAGTCCACTCGCTCAGCACAACTAGGCATATACGTGTTCTTCGCTATAAAAACCAAATAACGATTATCTACTATAATGGCAGCCAGTAAAATTCCCGATTGGATAACTTCTGACTTGTTTGAAGATATACTCAAGGCGAATGTGGAGGGATACTCGAAAGTCAAGAGTTTCAAGGCGGACATTGGATCAGCGGCTGGTGAAAACTATGCCACCGTTATGCTGCGAGTTAACATCGAAGTTGAGCTGCAGGGTAAGTCAGTTGGGGTAAAGGTCGAGCAAAATGTCTGATTTCCCTCCCCCAGATGGCAAATCAAAATCGGTTTCCTATATGGTAAAGTTGCCCCACCAACTGGAGACTTACCAGGAGATGATGAAGAAAACGAACATCTTTGATACCGAGCGCACAATGTACAATGAGGTAGTCCCGGAAATGGAAGCCCTTTACAAGGCTGCGGGAGTGGATATCACTTTTGGCGCCAAAAGCTACGATCTCAAGAATGCCAAGACTGACTATGTGGCCTTGGAGGATCTGGGTATTAAGGGATTCAAGAATGCCAATCGCCTCGAAGGACTCGACCAAACGCACACGGAGCGAGTGCTCCGAAAGTTGTCCCAATGGCATGCTGCATCGGCCGTGCGAGTGGCCACCAAAGGCCCCTACCCTGATATCCTATTAAGCGGCTTATTCAAGGAAGACAACCGTCCACTATTGACTGAAATGATGAAAGGAATGGGTGGGAATTTTGTGAAAAGCTGCGCTAGCTACGAAGGTTACGAAGTCTTTATAGACAAAGTCGTAAGTAAAAATACTTCAGAATTCTGATTAGTCTTGTAAATATTTTATTTGTTCTTGATTCTACCAGAAAGCCTTGCTGCCCGTGTTTGTCGATAAGCTTATCGAATTCTCCAAGATCGATCCCACGGAGTTTAATGTGCTGAACCACGGCGATTTATGGTCGAATAATATTATGTTCCAGTATGACGCCTTTGGAAAGATCAAGGAGGTCTATATGGTGGACTATCAGATGCCCAAATACGGAACAGTGGCCCAGGACCTTCTGTACTTCTTGCTCTCATCCACAAAGCTGGATGATAAGGTCACTAAATTCGATTACTATATTAAGGTTTACCATGAGAACCTGGTGGAGCACCTGAAGATTCTAAAGTACTCAAAACCCATCCCCGGTCTGCGAGACATTCATTTGACGCTCCTTAAATACGGATATTTCGGTAAGTATTTGCGACTTTTTAAAGGTAAACCATTAAAATTCTAAATCTCGTATCATATAAACTAGGCTATTCCGTGGTCACTGGTGTGATGGGTGCTGTTCTACTGGATCCCACAGACTTGGCAAGTTTTGAGAACTTTGTGGGTGATACTGAAGCAGGAGTGGACTTCCAGATGCAGATGTATAATGGCCCTCGGTATCGCAAACACATCCAAGCGGTAATGCCCTGGCTGCTAAATCGTGGCTGTTTAGATATGTAGAGCAACCAACTAAATAATTTCCAATTTTCACAATAAACAATCCAAATTGAGTCATTATAATGTGGAATCCCATGATAGTGTTATCTTTATTTATGTGCGATAATGGCAGCGAGTAATAATAAATGTAAAACGTCACAAAGTCACCGTGATAAGGTGTATATTTTTGAAGGGAAAGCGGTTATGATGATGAAATGAGGGGTAAGCCAACCGTAAATATACTTAAAATCACGGTTAGGCGTTATAAATACAATAGATTTTTATCAAATACATCTTCAAATTATTGGGTAAATGTTGAAAGAAACATATTCTGAAAAGATATTCTTTCTTAATTTAAACAAGAAAGGAAGTTAATTTTGGCACGCCGAAGTTTATATGTATACACTGAGGGAAAAAATTGTTCTGATTGTGTCTGAAAACTTATCTTTTTGAGTCTTCAAAACAGCTTTAAATCGTTTGGTATCATTACAAGAATTTTTTTTTTTTGATATGCATAACAGAATGTTTATTGGCGAGTTTTAGTTGAAACATAATTCACTTTCACCCATAAGAATTTATGGTATTATTTAAAGAGCGGATTACTCTAAGAACTAAACGTATTTATAAATATTTTTAGTACAAAAATTAATTTCTTTGAATGCTTTTGTAAGCATTCTGCCATGGAAAGAAATAATAAGGCCGTGGCCTAGGGGCCAAGGTACTATAAGTTCTGGTATTATTTTGTGTTTGGGGGTACGAGGTTCAATTCCCGCTCAAAACATAACTTATTTTTTTTTACTTAGTAAACTAACTAAAATTATTACACTCGTCATTCAATACACTTTCTAAAATTTTCTCATTCGGCCCGCCCTAGCAAACTATTCCAGCCTTATTCGCCTTCACTCCTCACGGGCATTTTCTATTGCAGCGCGCCGAATGAGAAAGTTTTAGAAAGTGTTTTTAGTGACGAGTGTAATCATTTTTCGTCACAAATGTTGATATCAGAACTTTTGTATGTTGAAGGTGCGACCGTCACTAGCTTTTTACCTCGTTAAGAGATGTTTTTATTTGATTCTTTATACTTTCTTATCTTTAACAGTAATTTAATTTTGACAATTTTTTGCAAAAATTGCAGCATACCGAATGAGAATAGTGGAGAGCGTAAATTAACTTTCAAACGGTTAAATTATTTTTCGTTACATATCAGAACTTTTGTAAGTTTAAGGTGGATCGTCACTGCTTTCTTACCTCGTGAGGAGATGTTTTTTCTTGTTTCAGACCTTTTTAAAATGACCAATTCAATAATTATGGGACCCAAAAACATAATATTTACCCAACTGCCATATTTTCACATAAATTGAATAACTTTTTCGTCAGTCTGCCATTTTGAACGTCAGATCTTAAACCATTAACTAATAAATGAATCCTTCTTTGTGGGGATGTTAACTTGTTATATTTATTCTGGAATGTGTCTGTATGGTGGCGTGGTGCGTGTCTGTGAGTGTAATACATTTCTCATAATACTTAATTAACGCATTTTCTATGACATAGCCCTAATACTAGCTGCGTTCTGGTTCCATCCTGCTCCGTCTATTTACAGGTAAACTCTTCGTAGCTCTCGTCGCACTCGTCGCATTTGACCTCGCAGCACCAGCGGAACTGGCAGCGGCACTGCTTCGTCCGCCGGATGTGCTGGGTGTTGTGGCCACGCCCACAGCAGAGCAGGTCGCAGCTTTGGGGGCCGTGGCCGTTCCGCTGGCAGATCCTACCGGCGGTGCCCTGGCTTCCCGTCTGCAGACTCCGCTCGCAGTAGTTGGGCGACGCCTCCAGGTAGATCAGCTCCATGCGCTTCGGCCAATCGAGGACCGGTTTCTGGGCACGAGCGGTGCCGGCATGCTTCTTTCTGGAAGAAAATTATGCGAGAGGGGTGTTAGGTATGTATTAAATATTTCTAAGCATGTTTTATTACAAAGTATTTAATAGTTATATTTATTCACTAATAAATGGCATAGTAAAAAATTTTGAATTCATCGATTCGTATTACATATTTAAATAAAATGAAAACCTTCTATTTATTAAAAACATATTTAATGGCATGATTTGAAATTTGTTGAATAAAAATTAAATAGCTTAATTACTTAACATAATTTTCGTCATTATACAAAATAATTTAATATTAACATAGCTAAACATAGCTAAAAATATTTAAATTTACATGAATTCTTTGAACTTACTACGTCTTTTTTTTTATTCATATATTGCTGTTGCTGTTTATGCCCAAATTATTTATTTTAATTTGGTTTGTTCTCTCTCACCTGCTTAATACTAATCTCAGTCCACGTTTGCCTTTGACGGCTTGAACAGTTTTGGCTTTTTGATACTTCTGCATGAGCTTATCGCCGATCAGGCGAAAGGGCGGCAAACTCTTCCAGCAGGTCTTCATCACGCAGGAGCCACTTACGCCATGGCACTTGCAGTCCGTGCGCAGCATTTTCTTGACCAGCTAAAGGGGTTCAAATCGAAGTTATATTATAATGTATTTATTGAGGAAATATATATGCGAACGCACCGTTCTCCCTGCCCGATTGTTGTGCAGATTCATCAGAGTGCGGGCATCTCGCTCGAGTTCGCGAGCATCCATGAATCTGCGCGCATACCGCATTCCGAAATCCACGTCCGCCGAACACCCGCCCCACTTCCAGGGCTCGTCGGGCGTTCCGCTGGCAGTGGGCATGGCCTTGTGCCGCACATCACAGCCGCAGGTGGAGATGTTGCCGCGGGCACAGGCAGCGGTCACCGCATAGGCCGCTCCGGCACTGGCTATCGCATAGGTGTAGGCAGCCTCACGGGAAGCTGTGAGAAAAAATGTTTGTTTGTGATGAATTTATAGTTTAAGTGATTATTTAAAGGGAGTAGTGAGTCCTCAAAATAAATCGAATTTCTGAGTTTTTCTAGCACTCGAACTTTCATAGGTGTTCTAAAAATTTTCAGAAATAAGAAAAAAGACTAAGACCGGAGTATAAATTAATAAAATGATTTTTAATACCACAGAAAGTATAATTGATTGCTTAACCCATTTGTATATATTAATATACCAATTTTGTTATTAAATTGTAACAAAATATTGTTAAATTAATATGAAATCTGTTGCAAAAATAGTAGTTTAAATATTGGTAAAAACCAAAGTTTGAGTACATTTCATATATTATTCTAAAACGCTGTCTTTTGATGGTTTCACAATGTTTTCACGTAGTTTAAGAGAAATCTGTGCATCTTGGATTTCTATTGGTTAAAGGCGAAGCTCGACTAGATAATTACTAATTTAAGCTTTATTATTTTATGGGTATTAAAAACATACCCAAAATGCAATCCCCAATTATGTCTTGAAATCTTAACAGATCTTGAGATCATGAGTCATACCAATTATCACATAAAATCGTACTTTACCAATAAAATTTAAATCATTTTATAAGACTCCCTGCGAGGGCGTTGATTTCGTGATGGGACTGGGAAAAAGACTGAGATTGGGATGCACATGCACTCACCTGTGGGTATGACATGGGCGAAGACGTTGCGCTGCCACACCTCCGAGCAGTTCCAGCGGTGTCCCCGGAACTGGTGCTGGCACTCCTGGGCGCCCAGTTGGTGGCCCTCGCCCAGGGCGATCAAAGCATCGGGCATCTCGCGGCACATGTTCCGCTGACCCGGCGTCAGGCCCGGAATCCGGCCACAGAGCATGGCGGATGTAAAGCTGGACACTAATCTGACAAGAAGGCAAAACAAACAGAACCATAAATAACACCCTGTAGAGCCACAATAAACAAATAAATAAATAACAAACGAATGGCGATCGATCGATCGATGGAGCGATCGCGATGGTGATCCGCAGCCGCAGATCGATCGCTCGATTGCCAATGGCTGAAATGCTGAAAAGCTAAAAAGTCGTGCACAGCAAACGCCGCCGGCTCTTTTGGGCTGGCTGAATGCATTTCCATTTCGTTTGCCATTGGAGGCTTCAGTCTCAGCTCCGAGCTGTGAGCTCCAAGCCGCCGGCCTCAGCTCCAGATCTCAGCCAATCGAGTCGAGTCTGGCCAAGATTAATGCGCTGCAGTTGTCTGCCGCACAGGGACAAATTTATTTATATTTTATTAATCGAACTACATGGTTTTGAGTTTTGGGTTTTGGTAAAGAAAACTTTCGATATTAGAAAGCCCATCACTTTGAATATGACATGCTACGAAATGTAACATGGAAACTACACACATAGCACACTCATAAAATATAATTATCCAATTAAAAATTTCCATTTTCGGTCAACTGCTTACAAATATTTTATAATGATGGAATATTTTTATTTTCATTTTTGTTGGTTGATTAAAAATAATTATTTGGATAAATCATTTCTTATCAAAAACCTACTCAAAATGGGTACTGAACTGATTACTGAACTCGGCATTAATGCTTTAAATTTGTAGGAAAGTTTTTAGATATAGTTAGATTAATTATGATACATTTAATTTCATTTATTTTTTTCCGATAATATTAACATAAGATGAACACCCAGTTTCGATCTATTTATACCACTGATCTATGCTTTTTTCCCGTGTATCCGTGGCAGGTGGCTATGGGCTTGGGCGTTGTACTGTCAGCTTTAGTCAAATCCCAGCCGCCAGCTGTATTATTAGCCATAATTGCACGGAGATGCAGATGGAGAAGAGAAGCTTGGCCATCCGTCGTGACTCGCTGGAGTGTCTAATCAAGTCGCGTTTACTTCAGCTTCAGCTCCACTTGAGTTGTCGGGTTAAATGGCGAAATTAATGCTAACAGTCAAAAATGGCAAATGGGATTAATGAGTTTTGACAATGAGTTGCAAATTGCCAATTTCAGATATTTTTCTCTCCCTCTGTCTCTATCTCTTTCTATTGCTCTGCCTCCCACTTCCACTCCCACTTGCCACCCACTCCTGAGACGTGTCGGCTGTCTAACCTGTCGACTTGCGGCTGCCAAGCCAATCAGCATCAAACAGCTGCGGCAATAATCATGCGATCGATCGATCGCCTGCTCGCCTTTTGTCCGTGGACCAGGTTAAAGCCAGGAAAAGCCAAGAAAAGCCAAAGAAACACATCCCGGGGCCAAACAACTGGCGCACGGGTGGGCAACAGCGATATTAAAATACAAATGCAAAGTTAACTCCAATTGCCAGCCACATGGTTACACGGGAAAAATATTAGTAATTTGTAATGGGATATTATTGTATAGGATATTCAGAATAAGAATTTCTTTCAAAGAATTCTAAATATTCTAAAGTAATTTCATTCAAAATTTTATTATATAAATCACATTTTTTTTACAGAAGGGATGTTTTTTCAATTATGAAATCATAATTGATTTCATGTTTTGTGGTATCAATTTATTTAGAATGTGTCTTTCTCCTTTCCGCTCATTTAACTATAACCGCTATCTCGCTCTATTTGTAACTGAGGGAGTTTGTACTTCTCTCTCCCACTCACTTAATTTAAGTTGCCACATTGCTTCTTCCTCTCTTTTTCGAAGTTAGAGAAGAAATTTCGGTAAAAACAATATGCCTATACAATACCATGCGCATATCGATTTGACTCCGGCGTGATTATTTTTGTGTGCATAATACATTTTTTGCCAGAGAATTAAAATTGTTTGTATTATAGACTAAATTATCCATGACATTCCATTTGAACAAACTTTTTTTTCTGCGTGTACACAAAAGTAAATGGCTTTCGCTGCCTGCCACTCGAGTGTCTCCAACTGCAACTCCAAGTCGAGCTCCAGCTCCAGCTTACGAGGCACTCTTAAACGCAGCAATTAAATCAATTTACAGAAATTACACATTTTACCAACCGCAGAGGAGCACGAAGACATGAGCTTAAACCCTCGGCAAAACGTCGATGGTCGATTTGCTGATTTCTGATATGGGATCGCTTTGGTTGTTGTGTTGCTGGCTTGTTGAACACGCTGTTAACATGGCTCAAAACTGGAGTCGAGCGTCGACGAGCGACGGCGAAATTGGTGGTTAAACTAATAATTAGGCCCGCTTAACAGGGCCAAAAGGAAGGGACCGCAAGGGAACCTTCAACTCTGTGGCCGAAGTTGGCCCGAAATACGCGATCGATCTGTCAGCGCATCCGCTCCACCAGTCAGTCATCCAATCAGCCAGTCAGTCAGTCAGTCAATAGCTTTTACGTGCGTTCGTCCAGCGTGACCGTCAAGCCCCCGCACCTCGATAAATATGGCATATGTACCTCTATATAAACGAACTATACTACTCCAAAACCAGCCGGCAATCAAGGCGGCCATCTCCAGCTCCTCCTTCCTCTTCCTCCGCAACCCTTTTGTTTTTAGCTGCTTTATTTAATTTGTCGCTTGGCCCGCCCGTCTGCTGTTTGCCTGTTGCATGTCAACGCCGACAATTTCATCATCATCATCGCCATTACCAGAACAGATTTTAGTTTCAGACCCATGCACAGCGAGAAAATCATTCTAATTACCAAATTCATTTATAAGAGGGTAAACAAAAAATATTAAATTATGCTTGTTATGCTTGTGCTTTAAAAATAATTAATCAATTCAGAAAACTATAGTTTAAAATCAAAGATTAAAATACATCATTAATAATAATAAACTATTTTATATCATATTTTTCATTAGGTTTTGTTTCTTATTTGTAAACAATGAAGCTGTTTTATTTTTTTTGTTAAGATAAATCAAGGGGTATTTAGTTTAAGTGAGCAATTCGAGCTAAGATTAATCACCTGTCAGTTAATAACGGACCTGTCATTTTTTTAAGACATGACACGACATAATTCTATTTATTATTTATTTCGGAAAACGTACAGTTTTTTGTATGCTCATTTCGAATAAAAGTTTTACACGCTATGCTGTAACTTTTTATAGATCTTTCCTTGTAATTTAGCTTTTTTATGGACCCCCACGATTTGTTTTTCTCTCTGTAAACCCTTTCGAAATCCACTCCATGATCTTCGGGCTCTTGAACAGTCCGAGTCACGTGTGCTTGATTTGCGCTTTGTTTTGAGTCCCCCTTTTATTTTTTTCGCCATAGTCCTAAGACTGCTTTACTTCTTTATTATCTCTGGTTCTATATCGGGGTTCTCGCTCGCTTCGTGACCCTTTATGCTGCGTGAGAGCAAGGACCTGTCATGAACTTGATACCACTTCCGCCTCCGCCATATACCATTTACCATTTACCAACTCCCCATCTCCTTCTTCATCGAACCCAAAATAGAGCTGGCATTTACAAAACACCAAACTAGTTCCATTGACAGTCTTATGGCTTCTGCTGCCCCGACAAATTGGTGATTCCTCAGGCACTAATTTGCACAAAAATATTTGCCACGACAACGTGGTCTCATTAAAAATGGATTAAGCCTGGTGCATAATTCAACGGCGGCTGGAGCGCAGGCACTTATGAGTTGGCTGCGAGCAGCATAAATGGCCAATAACAAGCCCCAAACCAGCAGCACAGGGCAGCAGAAAAAAGCAGCGAAATACCCAAGAAACGCTAACTTAATGCGCACTTTGGAGCCTCATAAAAATATGACTTTAATATTTTCACGCGCAGGCGTAGCAGCCTGGCGATCCACGATCTCCCCGATCTCCGCGCATATATATGTATATGAGTTTGTATAGTCCAGAGCCCTGTGTCATAATTGTGCGAATCTAGTCGGCCAAATAGTTTCGACCCACCGCTGCGCAGGCGGCTGTTATTTGGGCCCCACTCTCCGCCAAGACGTCTCTTACTCTTGACCAGTAGCGCCTCCAATAGCAGGCAGATATATATGGCCGGCGCTCCGTCTGGTAATTACATGCCTTGCTGACATGTTCATGGCCCTCGGACTCCTTCACTCCCCCTTTTCCTCCTCCGCCCAAACAGAACGGCCAAGCGCCAATTGGAGGCGGAAGCAACAAAGGCGCTTTAATCCGGCCAAAACAATGCGTTGGTCCGGGGGAATAATGTTCATTGGTGGGTCCCTCGATCCCTCAATCCCTCTATCCCTCGATCCCTCGCTTTTCGGGGCATTTGAAAGTTTCGTGTGCTTTGCTCTACAGCTGCATGTAAAGTGGGCGGGGCTGGGAGGGAGTGGTCGGCTGTGGGAGCGGGCAAACCGAAAACCCATAAAGGCTGTTCAACATGCCATCAATAAAACACAAATATTCCGAAGGGGGCAAGGAGGAGCTGGCAGGAAGAAGGAGCACTGGAGCGGAGCGGAGCTGACCATGGTCATGGCCAAGAAAAATGTCGCTGCCACGCTCAGACAAACGGCCAGCAACAATTGCTGGCCATCCTGGCCACAAAAACGACGACGTAATTGACCAGAGAAAGACATATGTACGAGCACTGGGAGAAAAGGAAGGCAACAGAGTTGGTTTTGATATCTGGCTTTAGAACTTTTTAAGGCTAAATTCTTAGGATACTAAAATGATTTTTGATCAATAACATATCAATCTTGTGCTCTTTTCAATTAACCAAATTAAACTATAATTTTTAGAAACTATGATTAGTTTTACAAAAATTTCACCTTAAATTTATTTATTGTATAATAACAAAATTGAGATTTAATACTTGTTAGAGAAAGTTTTTTGAATTAATTAATTTAGAATTACATTTTATTGTATTTATTATATAAAGGGTCTGTTCTTGCTCTTCTCTTAAACAAAAAAACTAAAATTTTTCAAGTCGTTTATGGTTAAAGAGCGATAAAACGCAACCATGTTTTTCTATTCTGGATAGTTCACGATTTCTTTTCCACGCCTTGATTAAACAACGGCCCCTCTCCTTGTTGATTCAGCACGCTTTCGCTCAGTGTAGGCAATGCAGTGTCCATGTAACAGGTAAAAGCCAAAACGGATCGTTCGTCATGGACAATTGGCAGAGACCAAGTGGTCGAATGGCCACTCAGGCAGTTAGTCAGTCGGCCAACCGCACTCGCCCTTGCCCTCCGCATCCCATCCCATCACGCCCTGGCAAACAGATCAACGCAGATAGTTTTGTTTGGGCTTTGAGGTTTGCAGTCGATCACTCATCCATAGCCGCAGATGAAAGAAATGGTAAGAGCAAAATACCAGGGCCAACAATGCCGAGCGACCAGTGACCAAGCGCAGATTCCTCGACCACCTCGCACCGACGGCTCCCGCGCAGAGATCTTTTATTTTGCAGGTTGGCCTGGGAAACGTGGAAACCTGGCTAACTGGCAGCCGGCAAACTGGCAACAGGCAAGAGTTTATGCCATTTTGGGCTTGTAAATGCAGGCACAACTGGCGCAGAGTGATCTTGATCGCAATTTGAGCGTTTGTCTGCACGTTCATGCGTTCCAATTGTCCATGTAAGAGCACGAGTACGACGGCGAGTACGAGGAGATGTATCTGGAGGATGCAGCTGGTTTGCCCGCTTTAAAATTGCAGTAACCTCAATTACACGAGCTAAGCATTTCTGGGTTAAGACCCTTTGAAGGTTTCTGCTTATTTCGGTTAAGTTCAGGTTCAGTTCGGCGAAGTTCTGCCCACAAAACCATCCCACTGACGAGAAGAGGAGATGAAACAGGAAAGGAAGCCAAATTGGACAATCAGAAGTGTGAATACACTTGCATTTAACAAGAATTAATGGGAAGATGTCTCAAAATACATCGATAGATATAAGAGAAATACAAATATGTCTAAACATATTTATAAAATGGAAAAATCTCAGTTGATATGCGTTAAAAAAACAGAATTACTGGTTACCAAAATCAAAATACCCTCTGCAAGGGTATAAAGTGCAGTAAGTGGTGGGGGAAAAACACCGCGTATCTTTGAGATACACTCAACTTATTGCAACTGCAACTGCATCAAGGCAATTAGATAGCAGTCGAAACACACACAGAGACACACACGGAGGCAACGTTGATGAGTTTATGGCAAAAATTGATTTCCAGTTGTCGTAGCCCCGCCCACCGCCTACCGCCCCAATCCGATTTTAGACGCGGCTCTTAGCTGCTCCTCGCTACAAATGAGAAACCGCTGTCTTTCTGTCAGTTTTGTGCTTTACTTGCTGCCTGCCATTTAATTGCCAATTTTAATGAGATTTTTTCCAGCGTTTTCCCAACGTTTCGCCATCCCCAACCCCGCCGTAACCACTATACCAACTACCAACTATATAGAACGAGGCGTTCACTGTTTGGGCGTTCGATAAGGATTTAACATACATCGCGCTGTGGCTTCGCAGATAAAATTAGCGATCGTGTCCGGCGATGTGCGCGATATGGCGAAAAGGTAACGAAAGAGTTGTCAACTCGTGCAGATCTGTCGGCGATAAAAGGAAAAACCGCCTGGAAAAGCCAAAAGAAAAACCTAACCCAACCCAACACAACGCCGCCCGGGGATCAAAAACAGACATACATAGCTACAGCTAAACATAACTGTTTGGCCGTTAAAGTTAATGGGCATACCGTTTATGGGGCTACTATACCTTATTTCCATAATCCAGAGTATGTAGATTAAGAGCTTGTTATGTATTTTCCACATGACGATGCAAATCCGAGGCACACAACACGAATTCAAGCCCAACAGCTGGCACTATCATCATATTCTATTCGCACTAAAAGTCTCAATACTCAATGCATTCGAGGCTTAATTTCCGTTCTTTCCTTTTGCTGAGCTTAGCAGTCTCCGATTTCCACAGTTCCGAAGGGCCACATATTTTTACCCATAAAACGCCGCCATAGGAGCCGAGAATCTGGGGAGCCAAACTATTGGAAGTAAACCGAGCGAACGCCTCCGTTTTGTTATTAATGAACCGAAAACGCAGACGGCAGCATTCAATACTTCTGCGAATATGACCAAATAACCGACGATCGATCCGAGTGCCGAAATACAATATACGAAATATATAAAATACACGCGAGCTTTTGTCCATTTGTTCGTATGCTAATTAACACCTTCTTCAGCTGCGGCGTTTCAGCGGCGTTTCAATTAAGTCATCGCGAGATCGGATCACCAAACAGTTTTCGAGCAACGCGTGCGTTTCATTCATGCAAATCTCCGACTTGGCCCGGCCATAACTCAGACCCGAAACTGCCATCAGCGGCAGCATCATCCATCAGTGGATATGGACATCGTGAATATCAGGGGGCGGGGCTGTCCAGTGGTCCAGCGGTCCAGCGGTCCGACTGTCCGGCGGTCCCTCGCCGACTACACGATTTTTTAATTTATGATAAAGCGCCTCCGACTGTCACAACGGAATTGCGGCAATAACCATAAACGGCTCAGCAGGTGAAAACTACCAAAAAAGCAAAGCAAAAGAAGTGCCGAATGCCGCGATGAAGATCCCTCACTCCCGAGATCAAAAATCTTGGGATCGTGTAGCGCTTAGACGTCCCGGGTGCGGAGATTAACATAAATGCAGCTCATTAGTGACGCAATTAAAGTGCCGAGACGAGCCGCCAAAAGGAATGTTATAGGAACCCCGAGATGGATCGTTCGAGTTTATCCCGAGTGGAAGTACAAACTGATCGCTCGACCGTCGGGCGCGAGTTTCGTATAAGAACTGAGCGGACCTCAAAAAAACTATCCGCATGCTACCTATGTCAGTCGGCCAACAAGTTGCAGTTCGATGAGGTTTGAAAGGTTTTTTTAACAAATGGGTTATGGAAAGGTAAACTTCTTGATTATCACTGGTCATAAACTTAAAGGACCTTTTTTCTTTTAACACCGGAATTGACAGAGCACTGATAAATACTTGCAAACTTTAATAAAACTATTCTAAAGACCGAACTTCAACTCTTCATTATTAAAGTAACACGAATGATTCTAACAGTAACGAAGGAGGGTGGGTATAACTTTAAGTAAGGCACGCGCTGGTTTCGGCTCTAGTTTCATCGGTAAAGGATGTGAGGATTGCTCGCATATTACAATACAATATTCTATTTAAATTCGCGTCCGAACTGACTGAGGTTATTTGTAGGGGGACAGATCTAAGAATGGGATAGAGAGGGAGAGAATACCTGAAAAGAAGGGTGATGGTTGTTATTTGCCGCTGACATTGCCCACATCTCTTCGACACACGCCTAACTTCTAATCATCTTTATCGATGAAAGCTTCCATTGAAAAAATTTAGCAATTCATGTTTATAATATGTTTAGTACAATAAAGTAATGATCACACTGTGCAACATTTTTAGGGTTATAAAATGTAAAATATTTTAAATTTTGCTCTGCCATTTTAATTCCTTTCGGCAACTTCAAATCCTGGCGGGAATTTTTGTAAATTGTGCTGGGAACTTTGAAAGTTAAAAATTTTAACAAAATGTTGCCAATTCATCAAAGATAAAAATACAATTATACCTCTAAGGTATAATTTTAACCATCATTATAATCAATTTCTTCTTCGAAAACATTCGAAATCACATTAAGTTTAAAAAAAGGATCTTAACATTTTGAAGTTGTAAGTTCGGAACACAAATCGAACAAAATTGAGCTCGATCAGGACAATCGAACTGCAACCCAAGTCGCGGCGACTCTGGTATGAGCTCGGTGTTAACAAGTACTTCAACCATGTTGGAGAGCCCTGTTCGATGAAGCTGGGCTTCAAGTTTTCAATGATTCCCCAGTGGATGGCCAATAAGCGATCCTGCACGTGACTCGTTGTTTTGGCCGAATGATAATGACGGAGACCTCAATTTTGATGGTCGGGCCTTTTTGGGGGAGCAACTTTCATCGGCAATCAAATCAATTATGTGGGTAAAAGTCGTGTCTCCCCCCATCTGCAGAATGTTTGGAGTGCCTAAGTGCAGGGGCTCCTCTTCGAAAACTGATCGAATCTTCATGGTCCCATGGATGCTTTTGGTGATTTGTCAGCGTGTCGAACAAAACACAAATCATGTTCATCAAAGTGTGGCCACAAATGTGTGTTTTGTGGCTTTTTTTTGTGGCAAATTTATAACTTGTTGTGCTGACTTCGGCTTCAACTGCGATTGCTGCAGTTTGCAGTTTTACAAATTGTTTTTGAACATTTGTTCAAAGTGATTTATTGTCGGCTGTTTACAGTCCGCCTCTTGACCAAGCGGGAAAATTGTTCATTTTTATTTTTTTCTCTTCACTACTTCACTGCCTACTTCGGTATACGGTAGCTGCCTGGCCCAAAGGAGGAGGAATGGCGAAAACCCATGGCCAGCATCTAATGCATTTCTCGGATACGTGTGTCGCCTTAATTGATATGTCATTTATGCTAATTCCCGGCCAAAGAGCACAGGAATTCGCTATCTTGACGGGCTACAAGATGTGTTTAGTGCAGTTGGAGTCGAGTAGCATTCGATGGCAGCCTATTAAATGCAATTAAGTTAATTTAAACAGTTTTGTGGAAAGCGCTGACAGCCAACAATAAACAGGTGCCCGCGGCTCAGGCTCGAAAACAATTGAACAACCATTGTTTACTCGGTTTTAGCCAGACTAAAGTCTGAGTCACTCGGATGATGCGCTGCTAGGCCCAATAATGGTTGACGTCAATTATCGACAATTGAAGTCGTCTCCGGTTGCGGTAAGTACCCGTACTTCAATCAGAGTTTAGTTTAGCCTGACCCAGATTGCAGCCCGAGACTTAGCCGGCTCAAGTACCTACAACATACTTTATTGTGTGCCAAGTCTTTTAAATTCCAGATAATTGTTTTACGGCCCCTGCAAAGAGTCTCTTTATGGCAGCCAATCGATTGTTGATTAGCCGCAGCAGCGTGAAAATATCGCTGGCAACATTGTAGTACCGCTCTCGAGGATCGTGGGTGTCTCAGTGGGAGGGGAAGCCGACATCGGGCATTGTTTTAAGATCACAGTAATTTACACCTGAGTTTCTAAAACCTCTGCAGATTAAAAAACATTAAAAGTATATTTTTATGTTCCAAAGCTGTTATTAATATTGCATTAGGTATTTCTTAACATTTTACAGACATTTTAATAACACTGTACAGAGTATCGGTTATGTTCCTTACTTTCAATACTTTATTTAATCTTCAGTGCTTGAAATATTATTAAATGTTAAAATACTTTATGAAATTTGTTGATCAAATTTTTTTTCTTTTTTTTCAACTCTGCTTTGAATCACATCTTTTCATTTTTATCAGTTCAGTTTTCTAATAAAGAAAGTCAAGTTTTTTGTTTAAGTCTTTCGTATTCTTTTTGTAAATTCTCATCATAATTTACATTTGTGTAGTATATAAAAGAATAAAAGCGATTTAAATATCAATATCTTTCTAACTAAGGCGTTACAGCAAAATACTTTTATTTTTAACATATTTACATTAGAATAAAAAATAGCTCTATTCCCAAAAAATTGTTAGTAAAAATCTTAGGTTGTGTAAGATCGTTTAAAATAAAAATTAAAGAAAATTCCTCAACTTGTTATTTAAAAAAAAATTTTAAATCAATTAATAAAAAAATTTTAATTTTTCAATAGCAAATTACAATCGTAACGGTCCCTGAAAAAAAAGCACTACAGTAGAAAGTAGCTTAGTCTTTTGTTTACCGTTCAACTTTTTTAGTGATTGAAATATTTCACTCTGAAGTAGACTAACCTAATTACATGCTATAAAATTAGGAGGTAAAAAACCCATTCTGAATTTTATTGGCTACCTTTGGCCTTTGAATGAATTGAAGCCGGCTTACGCCACTCCAGTGGCAGCGTCATCCAATGACCATAAAATATCGCATAAAACACACAAAAACAAAGCACTGCCATGAAACAATCAGAATGGCCCGAAAATTCGAGCTAAACAACAACTTTACCAAAAACCGAAATACAATAAAAATCCCGAGAGAGAGGAGAATTGCTTTCGGAGTTTATTGTTGTGGCTGGAAAGCGCTAACGGAGGGGCAACGCTTGGTTTCACATTACCCCCAGCTTCCGCTGACAGACCGAATGTCAAGCAGCCAAACAACCAAACAACTAAACAACCAAACGACCAGACAACCAGTGAAGCGATCAGGCCCCCGAGAAGCGAGAAAATGGCATTCGGAAAATGATTTTTTTGGACCAAGCTGCGATTGCCCATAAACAAGTGTAAATTGAGCTGGAAAAGCGGAAAACGCATCTGATTTCAGGCAGCGGCAAAAGGTCGAGACCAGGGCGATTTATTAACAAGACACTGCGAACGCCTTGGCATTTTGCATTGTGCTCGTAATTACGAAACAACGCAGCCAGCAGATAGAGATGTATCTACGCCCCATTAGCTCATCCTCATCCTCATCACCCCTGCCACGCAGCAAGTGTTAATTGAGCTGAACCAGAAAAAAAGAAGGTGAAAAAGGAAAACTGGGAAAAAAGGAAATGCGCGCTGACCCAAGCAGCTGGAGGTTTCCTTTTTTGTTCCATCGTTACCTGAAGACACTTTCCTTGGACCGATAGGGTTAGCGCTAAGGACAATTCATTGATAATGACTGGCGCCAGCTGGTTGGCGGCTCACTTAGACAAATTGATTACTAATTGGTTTGGCAGGTCGGCAAGTTGAGAGGATGATAACCCAGGAAGAACGCAGAGGACCGGTTAAAGTGTTGAATTAAACTTTATTGGATGTAATTACAATTTTACAGAAACTGGAAAGTCGTTTTACAATATATATAGATATATAACTCTATGCTGTGTATGTGGTTGGGGGTGTATCAGTGTCTGTGTCTGTACATTTATAATACGTTGATTTGTTAAACATTCTTTAGTTTGCAGATATATGTGTATAGTTCGTTCTAAGTATCCCATACAAGTAAGGTATAATATTTAAAAAGATTACTCTCTAGGTATATTTCGCTTAAAAGTTTAGTTAACAGTTTCATATCCGTTCCTATTTGCTGGTCTACTAAGCGGAAGGTCGGAAACAAACAGTTCAATTAGCTGAATTTTGGATTTCTTGGGACAAAGTTGGATGGTTGGTTAGTTAGTTAGTTGTAGTTGAAGAAGAATGCCTGCTTCGTACATGCGCCGCACTTAGAAGTTCTATTAGGACGAAGATAGGTATAAATTATCTAACAGATATGTGAGTACCAAATATCCAATTACATTAGCTATAATAGTTTTGTCGTATTGTATAGAGTTTTGATAGATATCAACAATTTTGGTGTTGCATTAGTTTTAGTTCAGTTGAGAAAACAATAAAAATTCAAACAGAACTTGGCCGGGGGAAATGCCCTACGATCGCAGACACCACCGCGTCGATATAGATACATAGTCTGTTATAGGTATTCATAATTGTTTGTTAGATTTAAGTTTAGTTTTAGTGCCAATTGGCTTAAGGTACTTAAGTTTTCTTTGCCTTTTGGCCTTCCTCTATCTAAAAAGACTTTCTTCCATTAAAACACACTCAGGTTGCTACTTTGAGGTTTATAAATTGTGTGTGTGTGTTTTATATTATTATTTTTTTGTGAGCCAGAGCGGGTCTTGTGTGTAGTGTAGTATGTGCAAATATTGCAATTAATTGGGCTTAGTATTCAGCTGGTAAATGTCTAACACCCTGCCAAAACAGTTAACAAAATTGATTGCAATTCTTAAGTCAGTTGAGTAGTGAAATCGTATTTAGTCTTCATTTCGAATCAGTTGATCAGATTTATACATAGTTAAGTTAGAGCAAAATGCAATCAAAGTTTCGTAGAGTAATAATAGTGCGAATTAAGTATAATAGTTCGTAGTTAAATAGTTAACAATGTGGTAGATCCTAAATCCCACCCACCCTCAACAGCTGCGCTTCTGGTTGTGACAAACATTCGTCGAGTAAAAGTCAACTTACAGCCCATTTGCACATCGCAATACGCAGATTTCACACTCTCGCACTTGAAGTTGCTTTATTTTGCACTTGGGTTTTGTGAGTTTGGTTTTTGTGGTTTGCTTTGGGACTACTAGAGGTAAGTGTCCCTGTTTCTATGGGCTGGACATAGGTTTCGAGATGGTGTATGTACATTAATCGTCCAACTGTCGCCTGTGTTTATTAATTCGAACTTGAACGGTCCTTTAAAAATTGTTTCTTGAGTTATCGTATCAGTATCGGCTCCTTTTATATTATATATATTGTATATTTGTAAGTATATATGTTCTTGTTGGTATGTTATGAAAGCTAACAATGTGGACGGACAAAAATAATTTACAAAAATTCATTTATTGTTACATTTAGTTTAAAAACTTTTCTCTCTTGCATGTTTTGGTTGTTTGGCTGTGTCTTCAAGCAGTTACGATTGACTGGCGCAATCAATCAGTTGGGGGGGAAGCAGCAGCAGAGGAATCCTCCATCTGCTCCTCAGATTTGGATGTATTTTGGTATCCATTCTTTTGATTTATTTTATCATTAGCTAGGCTTAGTCTACGTAGTCAGATAAGTTAAGACTTAGTACGCATAATCGTAAGTACTTGCGTTTAGAAATTAGAATAGGGCTTATTTTCTTTGAAACATGATAGATTGGTAGCTGCTGTGCACTCCACACGAATCTGATTTTAGAAATCAACAACAACTTTTGGACTTTCATTAGAGTCTTATGCTTAAACCTAAAGAGCAATTAGCAACTAGTTAGGATCGAGGATTAATGCTTTAGGTATTCATTTTTATACCCGTTACTCGTAGAGTAAAAGGGTATATTAGATTCGTGCAAAAGTATGTAACAGGTAGAAGGAAGCTTTAGAGACCCTATAAACTATATATATTCTTGATCGGGATCACTACCGAGATCTAGCCATTCCGTCTGTCCGTATGTCTGTACGTTTTTTTTTTTTTTTTTTTTTTTTTTTTTTTTTTTTTTTTTTTTTTTTAAACCCGGAAATCTCGGAAACTATAAAAGCTAAAGATAGACATTTTGCAGAATTCTAGGTAGTTCCTAGGCACCTCAACCCCACATATCTATATATACGATTTTAAAAATGTCAATTTTTAAAAGTAAAAATATTTTATTTTTTATATACCTATCGAAATGTAGAAGAAATTTTTAAAGACCATTCGTTAAAAATCAAAGTTTTTCTCCATCTCTTTCGCACTCCCTTTACTGAGTAAGGTCTGATGGGCACACATAGCGTTCTCTCTTGTTTGTTTTTTTTTTTGCATTTTGCTTTAGAGACAAGCTTAGTCGCATCGCAGAGCTTGGTAGTACGTTAAAATAGACTAGAATTTAGTTAGTTAGGCAATATCTATATACAAATGTAACTATATAGATGCATACACATGCGTAATATTGGTTTAAATTTTATGTATATAATATGTATATATTGCAGGCTACGATTTTTTTCACTACAATTGGAGTTAAAAAGTTTTTCAAAGGCGTCAGTAATAAGTTCTTTCGAGTTTACAAATGGAAAAATTGTGTTCTTCTCCCTGGAGTTCTGATCTTCAGTTAAGATTAGGTTTCGGTAATACCTAAAAAGTACTATGTGTGTGTTCTATCCATAATTTCTTAAAATTCGTTAGGCAAATGAATCAAAGTGCAGGTAGTTGCTACTAATTCAGAGTGTGTTGACTGTGTTATCTGTGTTAGAGAGAGTTTTGAAACAAAGTTCCACTACAGAGGTGCTTGGGATTGTTTTGGAATTCCAAATCGGAACAAATACGAAAGTAGAAAGTTTCACTCGATTGTTAAAGCTATTCATAAATTCTTATGGAACCGCGCAGCCTGGGTTCCTATGTTAAAAATTCACTCAGTTGACCCTCACTGATTGGATTGTATTTGGTGTAGATTGTTGTTGTTGCCCGCATTGGTGTTGCCACTGCTCGGCACAGAAATGCTGTTGAAAAAAGAGTGATTTATTAGTTTGAATCAGAATGGAATACCAAATTGAGATGGCTTACTTATTTTCGTGGCACACCAACATTTCCTGCTGCCCTTGAAACTGCAAGTTTTGAAGGTATTCCGCCCTGCGTTGGTGCACCAGCTTCTCTTTTTCGGCTCGTTCTTTCTGTAGTCTGTGTGATTACAAAAATAATTTAATTAATAAGTGCAGAAAGATATAAAAATTCATATAACAAATTATCGTAATAAATTAAAGTGTAAAAAGAACCCAAACCAAAATCATACACACGGTCTTACCAAAGTCGTCAAATCGCCATCCCAAATGCTTGCGTGCAATTACATTACCCATGAGTTAGCTTAGTATTAAATTAAATCTAAGTAGCCTGATTAATTAGTAGTACTTACTTGATGCGTGATTGTCTCATAAACTGTTGAATTTTTCTGGCAGCTTGATTTTGGGTGGACTGTGAGTAGGTTCGCCTGCAAAAATTAGTTCAAAATTGGTTAGTAAAAAATCAATAGAGATATATATTTATCCCGCTTACTTCAAGGGACCCGAAGGACTGGTTTCCTTGGGCGTGCTGGGCTGGGAACCCATTTCGTGCAACTGCTGCTGATCCTGCTTGTAGTGATCGTAGAAGCTGGACAGGCACTGCGAATTGCTGCTCACACTGCCATGGTCACTGGAGCTGCCCAGGCCCAAGCCGCTCTTCTTGAATCTCTTGTTCCGTCGATAGGAACGATAGCCGTGCTGGATAACCAGGGCGGCGTTCGTCATCTGCCTGTAGTAGGCGTACTGCTTGTACCGCCTGTAATAGTTCTGGATCACCGTGGCGGCGCTCCGCTCCTTGTTCTGCTCCTCCAGCTTCTGCCGGCCCTTGTACGAGCGATAGGCCTTCTGAATGCACTTGGCCGCTTCGTAGAGCTCCCGCTGCTCCGTATCTGTAAGGGTGAGCTTGGAGAAATCCGCCTCAAAGGGATACTGCGAGATGCTGGAGGCGTGCAGGAACTCCGTCAACTGTTTGGTGGATGGCGGAGGACTGGGCGAACTGACCGAGGGATCGGTACCCAAGATCGAGTAACTGGCCGGTGACTGCAGCGGTCCCGAACTGGCCGGACTCAGGCTGGAGCAGGGCGTGCTGACATCGTGGTAGCGATAGCCATGGTCATGGAAGTCGAAGCTGAAGTCGCTGTCGAAATGTGTGTTGGGCAACGAATCGAGCAGGGGATCCATAAAGCTGTCCGTCAACGCCGAAGATTCTGAAGTGAGGGGTTCTGTTAGAGGACTACCCAGCACCATCATTTCATCGGCTTCATTCTGGGAGGGATTACAAGATAATAAATCAGTAAAATATTCAAAGGGAATTATAAACCTACTAACAACTCACCTTTATCCTTTCTGGCATGGCCGCTATTATGTGTTCAGCTAAGGTCAACACTTTGGCATCAGAGTCCCCTGAAAACATACCAAACAGATTACCAAACTAGTTCCAAACTTAAAACTTTCATTCACAAATACATGGCAAACGAGTCTACATAATTGAATTGGACACTTTCATGTACAGATTTACAATTTCATGTATTTTTGTCTTTCTAGCTTCAAGCTCAATTAGTCAATGGACTTAATTGAGCTCAAATTGACAAAGCTACGATTATGAGTCTCCAAATTGATCACGATAAACAGAGTCGTTGTTTCGACACGGATAATTATTATTTATATTATACACCGACAAGCATTGAGTGTTTAGTGTTTAGCTAGCTATTTACATACACCTCGGATTTATATTTACAACGATCATTTCGTGGTTAATTAGGCGGCGAGTGTTTTTGTTAGTTTAAAATTAGTAATCGGTTAAGTGTAGACATCGATAAAAGCGCACATTTAGGGCGCGCAACCAGCAACCAATATTAATAACGAACATTTACATTGATTAAACGAGCTTCCCCACATCCATCCCCGCCCCCCAAAATACACATGAGTAGTAGGTACATATAACAACAAACAGCAATAGCAACAACAACATCAACAACATCGATAGCCCTTCCCCATATGGTTAGTATGTTTTTAGCTACAGTACAGAGATAACGGGTGAATTGGTTACGGGTTTGACAGATTGAGTTTGATATTTGGATTGGGAGTGGAGCCATCCGCCATCACTGACCTACAACGGCATCGGGCAGGGCCAAGTCATTGCCAATGGTCACGTCGGTCGCGCTCGTCGAGTTGTCGTCGCAATCTTTCTCGTGCACGGGACTCGATTCGCCCGTGGATACCTCGCCTAGTTTGAATTTACCGAGAAAATTTGAGCATTTGGTTGATTCCATATAGTCTATAACTAGGAGTCGTGATTCATGCGGAAACTCATCCCCAGACTTACAGAGAGCAAAGTCCATTTTGCGCAGCGGCGACAGCAGACAGTTGGTTCCAGTCAGGGAGTCCAGCGGCGAGTCAACTCCCAAGGCATAATTGTCATGGCTATCAAAGTTGCTAAAGGTTTAATAATAAATTAATTATTTGAAAGCTATAAATATGGGTTATGCATTAGAACCCTGCATGAATGGATTCAATGAATTATTTTATTTTTATATTATGAATGATTATAATTAGAATTTTGAGTTTTATAGAATTGAATGAATTTGAATTTTAAATTTAATAGAATTGAATGAATGGCATGAATTCCGAAATAATTCAAACTACAAATTCTTTTAAGGAAAGGCCCATCATTTTGTGAATAAATCTGCCTGAATTTTATTTACTAAGCAGTTAACATTGATTTTTGAAAAATTTTCCACTTTTTGTTCTCAAAAGAAAACACAAAAAAAATCTGTCAAATTCATAAAAATTATTCATTCATTCAATTCGAAATGAATTAGAAAAGCATTCACAATTCAAATAGAATTGAATTAAACAAATCGGAAATTTCATGGCATACTATGATAAAAAAAAATTGAATGATTCACGCAGGGCTCTATTATGCATTCCTACCTATGAAGCCTGGCCAAAGGTTTGCCCGATTTGCTGCGTATATCCATGTTGATCCCACTGTCGATGGAGGAACGCTTGGAGTAGCGACTGCTATTGTTGGGCGGACTCTGATTGCTGTGGTTTGGCAGGGGATACAATTTAAAACCAATCAACACGAATGAGATAAAGGAAATCCCTACCTATGCACCGCTACGGGTCTCAGAAAAACCCCATCATGTTTGCGCTGCAGTTCCAAATCGAAGGCGCTGAAACTCTGGTGATGTTCTTCCGTCTCCGCCTCCACGCCCATGTTCATGGACAGATTGGCCAGGCCGCCGCGCAACTGTGGCTTCCGGCAGCGCTCCTTCTCCAGCCGAAACATCTGCGCCAGCAAGTGTTTATGACCCCGCATGCTGGCCAAATCCAGGGGCGTCTGCTGCGCCTGGGTCTTGATCTTCAGGGCATTGTGGTTCCATTTGTAGAGTAGCAGCGAGCACTCCACATGGCCACGCACACAGGCCCAGGCGAGGGGCGTGAAAGCCATAGACATCCTGGCTGAGTGCGTCCAGTTCGGTTTCGAGTATGATATGTGGATTCTCCGAACGCCAATTGAGCATGGCGCCCACCAGCTTGGCATAGCCCAAGGCGGCGGCCAAGTGGAGCAGGGTCATGCCACGCAGACCCACTGTCCACGAGGCAGCCGTGCTAGGCATGCTCCAGGCGTGCTTGATCAGCCTGTGGCAATAGGCCACCAGCTTCTCCTCGAAGTTGGGCTCCAGATAGAGAGCGGTGTGATCGGTCTGGAAAGCAAAGAATTCTTTTAATTAAGGATATGAATTTAAAGATAACAATACTCACCGCAAGCTCGCGCTCCGTCTTCACCTGCAGCTTCTCGTCGATGGTGGACAGGCGATTGAGCAGGGTGAACTTGTAGAGACAATCGTTGGAGCTGCTGGCATCGAAGGGAGCGTCCGCCAGCAGCGACAGCTTGTACTCGAACATCACCGAGTTGGAGACGATGAATCCGCCGCAGGCCACCTGCAGCGTCACGAAGCCCGCCTCGTGGGCGGGACAATAGCAGCGCAGCACGCCCTCCTGCACCAATTGCGTGGGCACGGGTTGGGCATCGAAGAGCACCGTGTAGGCGCCGCCACTCGAACTCGTCCATGGCCCGGCCACCAGAACCTTGACGCCTCCCTCCGTGTACGACCACTCGGGACTAAAGTCGCATATATTGTGGACTTTGCGGGGCTGCGCAGGTGCCGGAGGCTCTCCCAAAAAGGAGCTCTGCTCCAGGGCGGTGTTATTCAGGGCCTGCTTGTCGTCCAGATCCAGTTCGGGAAACTCCACGAGCATATCGAAGGCGTCCAGATTGGCAAACACGTCGTCCGTCTCATCCTCTTCCACCTCCGCTTCGGAGGAATCCGGTTTCTTCTCCGCCTCCTGTTGATTGTTCTCCAGTTTGCAGCTGCTGCCGCCGTTGCCTGTTGCTATTGCTGCACTGGATGCGTTTCCTCCTGTTGCTCCTGTCGCATTGTACGGCATATTGGCTATCAAAGTGCGCTGGATATCCTCGTGGGACAGATCCAGGGTTTCGTTGAAGAAGCTCAAGGCTTCCGCCTGCTGGGGCTCCTCCTCGCTGCTGCTACTGCTGTTGCTGCTGTTCGTTTGATTGTTGCCGCCAAAGCTGCTGCTCTCGTCACTAATTTGGCTGCTGTTATCACTGGAAGCACTGAAGGTGGCACAACCGTTTTGGTTCAGGGGTTGAGCCAGCTGCTGCTGCTGCTGCGGCTGACTCCTATTGAGGGCTTCTGTGGCCTGATTGTTGACTGTGCTGCTGTCCTGCTGTCGAATAAGTTTGAGAATTTAATCAACATAAATACAATGATTATTGCTGGCTATTTTGCGGTTGCCACTCACCTCAGAGAGCGCATTGGCGCTTATTAAATTATCACAAGTTGCTGCCGTCGACGTCGTTGTAATTTGTTGCTGCTGATTGCCATCGATAATCGATTGTAAGGAACTCGAAGTGGACGAAGTGCCCGATGTGGGTGTGGATATGGATGAGGGTGTGGAGATAGATATTGTGGAGGGGTTGCTGCCAGCGGAAGACGTTGCAGGTTGGCTGCTGCTGCTGCGATGCTCGGGCGACATGCACATGGCCTCCACGGGTGGTTGGGCCAAGGAAAGGGGTTGTTGCACTTGCGCCAGAGGAGGAGGCGGCTGACCACTAGTTGGGGTTGCTGTTGTCTGTTGCAATTTATAATAATGTTGCTGCTGGCTGCTGTTGTTGTTGCTGTTGCTGGAAGCATTAAGTTGCTGCTGTTGATTGTACATAAAGTTATTGTTGCCGGGGTCGTTATTATTTACGACATTTAATTCGTTGTTTGTTTGAGCTGCTAATTGCTTGCTGGCATTGCTGCTACTGCTATTGCTGCTGCTGCTGCCGGAGTTTGTGATTTTGTTTGTGGTCAAGTGGCTTTGGTTTTGATTTTGGTTTTCAATTAGTTCGGTGTCCATAACATTTGAGGCGACTGCAGCCGGCACTGCCACTGAAGTCGTTCCAGGATCTCTGGCTGTGGCTGTGATCGTTGTATTGGCTATTTGCAGCCTGTGCTGCTGATTGAGATGCACCGAATTCTGGCTTTGACTGGCAACAAACCGCTGCAGACTCAAGTGCTGCTGCTGCTGCTGTTGTTGGTGCTGTTGCTGGTGGTATTGCTGCTGCTGTTGCTGTTGCATCACCAGATTGCTCCTTGCTGCCAGCATTTGACTGGCTCCTCGATACTGTTGCTGCTGCTGATAGTTCCCATCCTGCTGCTGCTGCTGTTGCTGCTGCGGCGGAATGATCTGGAACTTGATGGCCGACTCCTGTGGCAACTGCTGCGTGACATTGTGGAACTGGCCGTGATTGTCTAGGTGCTGCCTTGGCCGCTCCGCCCATCGGGAGTACAGCTTGCTGGCCACCACCACATTGGGCGTGTTCCCGTTGAACGTCTCGCCAAGCCGTTTCTCCTGCACCGACGACTTTAGCATCGCCGCAGATCGCCGCATCACGGGATGCGTGCAGGTCTTTCCGTCCGCACAGCCTCCATCCCCACATCCGCAGTCCAGCTGCTTGACCAGCGCAGCCTGGCGGGACAATCTCTGCTTCTCCATCAGCTGGCAAACTATGGACTCCACCGTCTCAGCCGTCTAAGCAGGGAGAATCCAATCGAATCAATTAGCTTAATGGCGGAGTCTTAATCTGCTTTGTACTTACCGATATTTCTATATCGTTACCGGAATCGGAGTCATCATCCGAATTAACTGTGGAAACTGAAAATTTAAAATATATTAATACAGCTATTTATAATAAATTTCCATTATCTAATTAACACAAGTAGCAGGCGCCATGTAGGTTCTTATTTTTTAGTTTTCCTAAAAAAACACAAAAATATTTACATACAGAAAAATTTTATATATTTTTTAAAGATTAAGTTATTTATATCATTTTGAAATGAATAAAGATGGTTATGCTATCCAAGTAGTAACTACCTATATTTATAATTTTTATGAAGTTACTGATATGATATGAGCAAATTGATATGTTTGAATCATAAATTTGACATTTTTCATATCGACTTTTTTATTTATTCCTATTTTATAAAAATTTAAAGATAACTCAGTAGTAACTATCACAAAATAAAGTGCAAGCCACAATTTGATAATCAAAAATATTTGTTGAACATCTAGTCAAAGTCTCAACTTACGCATTGGCTTCAGCTGGCTGACCAACTCCTCCTTGGTCCACTCCTTTTTATCGCCCCACAGTGTGATGCTGGGCGCAATCACGGCCATTTTATTATCATCCGGATAGGGGACATTCAGGTAGTGCACCAAAACAATGTCCGGATTCTGTTTAGATGATCAGTCCAGAGCCCCAGGATTAAAATGTGTCAAAGGAGAGCAGGGACTGCGAACTTACCTGCAACAGCCAGTAACATCTGCGATGAAATGTGGGCAATATGGCCGAGTGTACATAACAACCATAGATGCACTGTGGAAAATAAGAGAGGGTGAGGGTAAAACATCGAAGGAAATTCAATTTATCAATTCGGCAACACAAACAAGAGCATAAAAAAGGGCTAAAACTTGGGGAATTCCCACTTGACTCCACACGCAACTCGTTTTGCCCCGCGGAGAAGAAATCCATTTAATTGGAAAACATAAAAACGAAGAGCAAGTGGAGCTCAAATTAAATTACCAACCGCCCACGCTAGGGGGCGCCACTTGGTCTTTGGTAAGTGCCAAAAATCAGGACTCAAACTCAAACTCAAGCCGAAAACCAACGGATCGAAACGGAAGAGCTGAGGAAAAGGGTTTCCCTGACTTATAAAACATTTCGTTGCGCATTTTTCTTTTTCCTTACGGTTTTTTCCCTCTTTTTTTCTATCTTAGTTTATTTTATTTTTGATTTTTTTCGTAGGAAATTTCTTCTACCCGCTGATAAATTTGTTGGCTCTCGTTGGCCGCGATATGCCGCTGACTTCTTCTGCCTCGCCTTGGCATTTCCTTTGTACTATCTGCCTCGTTTGGGCCCAGTTATCAGTAAGAAGACGGCACCCCGCCAGCACTGCCAACTGCATAAATCTTCGCCGGCCACGTTTACTTGCGAATGTATTAAAATAAAAATTAAAATAAAAACAAACGGCGGAGGAACTGTGAAGAAAAAAAATTGGCGTGAAATTGCCAAATGTTTTTATGTTTCTGTAATGGTAATGGCTGGTCGGGGGCTAGATATTCCAACAGACAGACAGACATTATAAATAAGCTTAACCCTTGGCAAGGCTTATTTCATTAGCAGGCAGGGCAAACACTTGCCACGGACGAATCGCTTCGAGGAATAAAGGGGAGGACACCGTAAGTTTCTGTCAACTTCCGCCGGGAAATCATAACTCACCCAAAAGGAACCCCCATACGGTCAAGAACGGAAAAGAAAAAAAAAATACAAGGAGCTCCCAAATCGGGGGAATTTAAGTCATTTTTTTGCTTTCGCCCCTTGACAAATGATGGTAATGGCTTGAAAACGATTTCGTCTAATTGCCTAATTGTGCAGCCAGAAATGGCTCTTGACCACTGCAAAAAAAGTATCTGAACTCACCTCAGTGCCTTGTACTTTTAGTTTCATGTGATCCTCGCGCGTTGTCTTGCCGTCCTTGCGTTTCTTCCAGCAGTACCCATCGCGTCTATAACGGACCTTCTTCCTTGAGTACAGCAACAGCGATCCGCTCTTGGGTCTAAAAATGTGATAATATAAAGGTTATTTATAAGAAATAAAATACAGACAAAAAACGTATTAAAATTAAGGTCTTATATTGATCTATTTGATTTTTAATAGACATGAAAAAGAGGATTTAAAGTAAGTTTAAACAGATTTTCTTTAATCTGAACCAAAGTAAGTATAATTTTATATAACGGAATATATGTTTAAACTTTCTAGGAACTAAACTTTCTAATTTTAGCTTTTAATTTATATTAAATTAATATTTATTATGATCTCTTCAGTTTTCGTGACTCACCTGGTTCGAACCTCTTTGGACTGCCACTCGCCATGCTTATCAAAGCTGATAAGAATCGCAGCGATTTCCTAGAACACACAAACACAGCCTTTAGTATAAATTCCCATATTTGCATATCAAATACATCTTGGTGAAAATATTCAGAGATTGCACGAGCGGCCTTCACCATCGGGCTTATCATCGCTGCGACACTGGGAAAGTTATTTCCCAACCCCCCTTAAAATCCACCATGGCCCCCAGCTCACCCGCTAACTTGGCTAACTGACCTTAACTAACGTGCTAACAATTTCCGGACTTAATGGGCAAACGGATCCGCTGCCCAGTCACGGAACTCGCGGCATTTCCTCCGCCCGAAAACTGGAGGAGAGGAGGGATTTCTGCGCCATAAAACAAAGGAAAACATTTTAGAAATTTCATTTGACCGCAAAGCGGACACTGCCGCCGAAAAAAGGGAGGCAGAGATGGTGGTGGCCGTGTGTTAACCACAATTTACAGGTGTCGACGACAGTTGACACTTAACCAGGTTGGTGGCCAAAAGACCAAAAGGCAGACGCATCCCGAGTGCAATTTGTGTGCATACTTGAAATGCCCCGTTGTCAGCAGGGAATATAAAATCTTAAAAAACGGGAGGAGCTCAAGATTTAGTCAGTCAAAAGCGATTCGAATGCAAATCACACAACACAGTCAGCGAAAGTTCACTGGGAATTCGCCCATTTTAGACATTTCATAGCATGTTTTGCCGATAAAGTTATCAATTTGTTTGCTTCCTTGACGTTGCATGAATAATGCAAAGTGGCCATCCATCCATTCCCATCCAACATCCTTAGCCCTCAGCTGTGCAGCCAAACATTCTCCGTGTGTGAGTCTCAGTTCTGGGCAAGATATCGCAGCATTTGCGAGTGTCATAAAAATTGTATATCATCGGGAGTGAAGAAGGAGGAAGGTTGAGTAAATCACAGGCGCGTGTTTGTCAAGTGGCAAACGTTTGCATTTTGCCAAATATTGCCCCTGACTTGGCTGTTTCGCCGCTGAAGAGCATATGGAAGGACATATGGAATCTAGATAGATATATGGATGGATGGCTGTTGCTTATTTATGCATGGCTCAAGCGACCTACTCCAAACTCCTTCCTCTCGCTTTATGATGAATTCCAGGCACATACTCCGAAAGGCGGAGCATTAAGAATTTATGCCCACCTCAGCGCATAACCCGTTCTTTTTGGCCATGGGCGTGGCCTAAGTCAAATGTTGTTTCAACACTTTCTCCCGAGCATCAATCATATAGAAAATATATGGCAAGGGATAGACGGAATCTTTTAGTAAGAAATAATGTAAATTCAAACAGACTATTATGACAATTTTTTAGAAGTTTCATGAACCTAGCTGATGAGGTAGCGTTGGCAACCTACCGAGGTCCTAGGTTCACTCCCCACTGCACCCAGAAAAAAAAATTACCTAAAATGTCAAAAAATGGCCTAGAATTTAGGTAAAATTGGCCTAAAACTGGAGTTAAGTCCTTGAATGGCCTAAAATTTAGGATTCCATGACCTAAATTGTTAGGCCATTATAGGCCTAAAATGAGGGTAATTTTTGGCCTAGATTTTAGGTAATTGGCTGCCTAAAAATATGAGAAAACCCCTATCCAAAATTTTAGGCCTCCTTTGGCCTAAAAATATGTACTGAAAAATTTATAATATTATAAAGTAAATACAGAAAAGTTTATAGCAAACTCGAGGTCAATGTCGGGCTTGGTCTTCAAGAAGTCGTCATTATGCCAACACACAAAAAGGAGCGAGGAGGCTTCACAGTTCAGCAGTGAAATCGCTGTCTTATTCAACGATCGAAGTGGGTTACCATGCAAGCCGCGCTATAACTGGTTGGGAATTATAGCGTCGCCAAAACGGTATCAAAGTTCCGTGCAAATTTATTTAGGTAAAAGGCATTAATTTTAAGGCCCACGCTGACCTAAAATATTAGGCTATACGGGACCTAAATAGTAGGGCAAATATACCAAAAATTTAAATTTTTAGGCAGTACATGACCTAAAAAGGAACTTTTAGTCCATTTAAAATGTTTTAGGCTATGCATGACCTAAAATGTTGTCCATCATTTTTCTGGGTGTGAGTGTAAATGTGTTGAAAAGCAAAAATCGCTGCTTTATAAAAATCAAATAAAAACACCTCTTAACGAGGTAAAAAACTAGTGACGATCGCACCTTCAACGTACAAAAGTTCTGATATCAACTTTTGTGACGAAAAATGATTTTAGATGCGACTAAATAAGTACGCTACCTAAAATTTACTCATTTTGGGAAGAAGAAGAAAATCTTATTTTGGCTATAACTTTTGAACGGAGAGTCGGATTTTGACAAATGATCCCTCATTCGACGGGTATTTTCAAGAGGAATACAACTAAAACATTGCGAGGGGGCATTTATCCCCACCGGCCCCAACAGCTCCAAATTTCGAAATTTTCAATTTTTCACTTTCACCGCTCTCTCTCCCAAGCCAATTGATTTTCTTAAAGTCTTGGTATGCAATCCTTTAAGTTTTTGCAATACCTTTCGATTGGTGTATTACTCATTACGATCGGACTATCACTGCCGATTTTCAATTTTGCGGCTATATAATAGTAGTCGCCTTCGCACACTCTCCTGGTGCGCTTCGTCACTACATGGACTGCCGTCCATAGTGATATAACTAACCATACCCTAGAGTTCACTCAAATACTTAAATTTATGTATAATGTACAAGCCACCAAAAAGTTATAAAAAAAAAATTAATATAACAAATTTTTATTTTGTAATTTTTTCTATTCCTAAAAATCGAAATACTTCCCGCCTACAAAAGCTTTATAACATAACTAGTTCTGTTTACCACTACGATCCTAAAGATCCCACCCAGATTCTAAACCCATTTCGAACTCAACACCTTTTGTCCTTAGAACAACCAGCAGGGACTAATTTAAAGCATGCCACTTAATCATTTCCAGTCAAGTGGTCCTTTTTGGTGACCAACGCAGAAGGGCCAGTTCGGTTCACCCAGAAAACGAATGGGGCGCAAAAAAACAAAAATAAACATAAAATTGCGACTCATTATCAATTTAACTTTTTGATTTTTAAGCTGCGCCTTTTTGCAACCGCACACAGACTCACACGGTCGGTTGTCCGTTCCCCTTGTTGCTATTATTTTGCAGTTGCTTTATGAGCAGGGTCGAGTGTTCTGGCCCCTGGCAACTGCTTAAATGCCAAATTAAAACCATGTGGTTAAAGCGACAGTTCCAGGTTCGGCTGGTACGGGTCCCACTTTTCCGCCAACCCCAACCCCCAACTGCCCCGTTTTCCCTGTAAGCAGACTAAAATAAGCGTGCGTAATTTTATTTATGTCCCGTACACGGCTACATTTTGTAATTTTTGCATGCTGATGCCGAGAGAAGGAGGTCCTGTAGGCAGTCCTGCTGCTGCACTCGGAGTTCTTTGCTTTTGGTTCGCAAACTTTATTTTAATCAACTATGAGATGCTCTAGTTTAAATTATTTAAATAATTAAAATACGACGGCCACAAAATTTATAAAAAATATTTCCAAATTATTTTTTATAAATACCTACTATTATTTAATTTAAATTATTACTATAAAAACTCACTTCAAAATCATATCAAATTTTTAAAATCATTTTAATTTATATTTAGATATATTTACAGGTATTTTTACTTTCCTTCCACCAGCTTCTTTTAATTTAGTCAACTTTGTACCGATAGAGTGTAAAACTTTTGGTTCGGGCAGCTAAAGATCCCACCAGCTTGAACTTTACAACTGTCCAAATGAATATTTGCGGTTGCGCTTAATTCACAAGTAAAACAACAAGCCAAGCTCATTGCAAAGAATTTTCCCTGTTTTTATTTTCTCATTTTCCGCGAGTGAAAACTTTTATTGCAAACCGAAAAAAAACTAAGGGAAAAAATGGGTATGGGAAAACACGGAAGCGAACTTTTCGGCGACGCGTGGTCAGGTTTTTAAAAGCGGGTCCCCGAGCACAGATCGCACAGTTCTAGTTTTACTGGTGTTTGCATTATAGTTTGTGACGCAATAAAAACGGCGCGAGGTCCCCTTCTAATGGACAGTCCACCATCTCATTAATCTGCATATAGAAATTCACAAGTGTGTGGCGGCGCCCCAAGGAATCCGAAACGGGGACAAGGAAGAGGAGGAGGAGGAGCCGTCGTCGAAGGCTGTCAAAGTGTCCTGGCGAAGGACTGGCAGGCTCATCCGCCTGTCAACTGTCGCCGACTTCCTTTCGGCTTTCACTTGACTTCCCCGTTTCGACAATTTTATGTGCAATCAAATGCAAATAGAAACACAAATACAAACAGTCCACGGAAAAAAGGGCAAATAGACAAAGAAATACAAACTTAGAACTAAAACTGACCTCATTTGTATTCCAACGATGACGCTGTGATGGAAAACTGTCGGCTCTTGGCAGGCTCTCCAAATTGTCGGGCAGCTTGATGGGTTCGCCATCTGAAAAACGGGGCAAAAAGAAGAAATAGATGTTAAGTGCACCGAAAGCGCAAGTCGGGAAATCAATTTCGCATATCTCTCGCAGTTTTCAACCCACTCCGAAAAAACCCTTCCCACATTTACCATTTCCACCTGACGACACCCAACAGGTGCAACTGTCGGACATTCATAAATGCGACAAAAATGTAAATCAGTTTAGAGCGATGATTTATAGTTGGAGCACAAAAAAGGGGAAATAAATCCTATAATGTCAACATTAATAAACGAGTCTTTCCATTTTCTCCATTTATCAAATCCGCTCTCGCCAACATTAGCCGGCCAGAATGCGTGGCAAACTTTTCGGTTTTGAGTCATTGAATAATTACCCACACTTAATGGAGCTTGCAACGTAGTAAATCGAACCAACTTTCGGTTTATTAAAAGGCCACGCAACTCGCGAAGGGTAAATAAACTTTGCGGCCAAACTGTAATTTAGCAAAAATGTGTAATAAAAGCGGACACATCTACGCGACATCCCCCTGCCCCTTTTCACTCCCAGCTCGTCGTATATCAAAGAGCCAATAGGTTGCACTCGAAGAGCCATAAAAAGTATTTGTACACAATTTATATAAAGTGCTCGGAGCGGAGCGACTTCGCTTGCCAGTTTGTCAGTGGAGGCCGCGTAACCGAAATGTGTTGCCAAATTGCAAATGCCAGACGTTGGGCGGCCAAAGGGGGTGGCTCTTCTGGGTGCGTGGGGTTGTCTCCTTTTTGGAGAGGTGAGCACACACGACCAGGGATGTGTCAGTGATTCCATGATCATAACTTACCCCAAAGTCGATAAATATAGATTTGGAATTCTAGATAACCAAACGACATAAGTCTCTTTAAAACAGCTGAAAGACAAAGAGGTCCTTGAATACCTTTTTTAATAATTTTTAAAACTAACAAAAGAGAGAACTGTCACAGTTTTTTAAGGTCCCTTAAGGCGATTGTGAGCATTTGCATACTCTAAGAGTATTTTCCAGATAAATTGGGGTGTTTTGTAAAATATTAATAGTAATTCCAGTAACACAACTTTGTCTTTAGCTAAATGTTAAACTTTTAAAATTAAAATAAACAAAGAATCCAAACAACAATGGATGAAAAATCCTTTAAATCACGCACGCATCCCTGGCGAGGCAAGGATTTCGCGGGCCCCTCGTCACACTTTGGTCCCAATGATGACGTTGATGTAGTTACTTTTTCAGGGCGTTGTTGTAGTGGCAGTCGAAGTTGTTTATGCGATTTTTATATGGCTCACGTTTTGGCAGAGGACACACTTCGGTCTCGCAAAAGCAGGCGGTAACCTAGGGCCGGGGGTCAGAGGGGTGAATTGGCGACAAATTGTTTGCTTTGATCGCACTCTCCAGTTTTATGGCCAAACTAATTTGTCATCGCTGCCTTGAGCTGCTCGACGACTCCCACCGCCTCAAAAAAGAGATTCCATTGAAAAATGTTCAAGCGATAATTGTCAAAAATGTCGAAACAATCACCGAACCTTGCCCCCTTTTTCCAGACAGTCCCCCCTTTTGCACCTATTTATAATGCAGTTGCTGCCATTGTTGTCAAAAGTGAGGGGAGGGGTTCCAAAGGGGGCAGGGGCAAGAATAACTCTGTTTGATTAATACAAATAAAAAGTTTTTTTAACTGCTCTTTGCATATTTCATGGCGAAGAGCTTCAAAAACTGACGTTGCCCGCCATCATAATAGACTGGCGAAAAAAAGAAGGTGGAAGGAAGGAGGAGGCCCAGCAGCCTGGGCTGCCAAAAAAGAAGGTAGACCGCAGGTGAGATGGGAGACCACGGTCCCAGGTCGCCAATGTCGATGGCAACGTCAACGTGGCAGAAGTTTTTCCCCTTTTTCCTTGACTTTTGCTTTTTTTCGGCGGTTTCGCATTATTACAACTTTAACAGGGGGACCCCCTATAATTTCATTCACTGCTTAATTGTGACAAATGCGCTTTGGTACACAAGATTTTCTCATAATTTGGCTGAGGAATTTAAGCAGCAGGCGGTAAAGGTAAACTCTGGGGAAGGTGGAATGGGTGGATGGCCTCGTCGGCCATGTCCCACGAATTGACACGGCAAATAGCACAAAAGAGTTGATATAAATAATAAATTTGCGTTTTATGAACCCCCGAACCGCCTGTCCAGGTGGACGGAGACTGAGTGAATCGCGAGAGCTGCCAATTTGTGCTGCCTGCCAAATTGTGGCTAATAAATATCTCACCAAAAAATGCCAAAATGGTGGGCATGTCTGGTTGGTTGGTGGGCAGTTGCAGTCGCTATACTATAAAACATACAAAAGAAAAATTGTTTTGCACTTTCGTGGACGCCGCCGCCGACGTCGCCGAAAAGTCAGCGAGTGTGAAATTACTTTTGTTCAGTCACACACTCTTGCCACAATTAAAAGCCATTAAAGTGTCTCGGAAATAGCTACAAAACAACTGCGAAATAGAGCCCATAGAAGGCCTCTCCACTTCTGGTCTACGCAATTCTTTATCGCATGTATGTATGCCAGAGTGCCAGTGAAACCGGGAAATAAATATCGCTTGGAGGGGGGATTTTGAAGATAACGCATGATGACGTCTCTGGCGAAAACAAAGACCAATAATAAATTGAGATAGCCGAAGATAGAGTGTGTGTGTGTGGAGAGAAGGCCAGAACAGACGTCATGGTTAAAACAAATAGCCAAAGGAGACGACAAAGTAAAAGTTTTTCAAGATAATAAACACAAATATTTGTTTATGTGTAAACTAGGCAATAAAAACGCGCTAATATAATTGCAAAATCCAACCTTATCAACTAAGAACTGATTATTACTCACAGTAGGGCTACGATTTCGATGTAAAAGCTTCACAGAAATTATTCATGTGATTTTGATACGAAATTCGTATTACAAATAAAGATTATATTTACCTCATTTTAAATTAAAGGTCAAAAAGGATTACATTTAGTATTTAAAAGTAGTATATTTATAATTTCTTAGAAATAACTGATATGATAAAATATCTAATTGATATGTTTGAATCATAACATTGACATTAATCGTATCGTCTTTTTATTTACCCCTATTAAAATCTTTTTCTGTGTTAGAATTTTGTTCCATTACCTAAAATATTCCCAAAAAGGTCTTCCTTATCTTGAGCATCAACACTTTGAGTTTAAAAGTTATGAATACCTAGACGGACACAACGTCACTGTTTACTAGATATAAAATGCAAAGCTTCTCGCTAAGCGAACTCCACATAAATGACAGATGTGCGGATGATTTATGGCGTAAGCAAACCCAAAACAAACACACACACTGCCTCGCTCCACACGTTGCGGTTGATAAAAATCATTTGGCAACATTTTGGCAAACGGCAACGACTAAGTCACTCGCTTTGCATTTTCCCCCGGCGGTTGTGGCATTGCAAGGAAACATTTCTCATCCAGTTTTGCATATTTCGCCTTGGCGAGTGGCAAGAACAGCAATTAAAAGACACATAACAGCAAATATGCATGTCAGGCGCGACGGGGCCAAACAATAATTAGCCCAAAAGCAGCAGCAAAATGCAATTTCACCTCAAATGAGGAATATTTGCAAAAGGCCATAGGAAGCGGTGGAAGCACAAAGCTGGAAAACAGAACTAAGCACAACAGCGATTAACATAAAAATGCAACAAATGGGGGCAAAAGGGGAAGTCTGAAAGTCATAAAAGTCCTATTAATGAATGAAATCTAAACAGAAAATATGAGAAACAAAGCCAAAGCCAAACAAAAGTTTGCAAAAATGTTATAAATTATTTACAAGTTATGGCTGGGTTAGGGGGGGGTTTTGCTACACTCAAAAAATTATTTTTTCTTAAATATAGAAAAACAATTTTTTTCTGTGCTTTAAAAAATTATTCTAGTAAGAGGAAAAATTTTCTAATCTTCAGAAAAGTTTTCTAATCTTCAAAAAAATTCTGAGTTGAACTAGTTTTTTTAGAAAATATTTTCTGAAATACAGAAAAATCAATTTTTTTCTAAATTATAAGGTTTGTTTTTCTAATCTTCCTTTCTTTTTTTGAGGGTTAAAATCGCCATTGATTTTAGAAAAAAAAGACTGAACTTTTCTAAAACTAAAAAAAATTGTCATTAAAATTATAAATATTTCTACATAATAGAAATATTGTTTTTCTAATAACAGAAAAAATGTTTGAAGATTTTTCTAACATTTAGAAAAAAATGTGTGATATTAAGAAATATTTTTCTAAAAAATAAAAAATTTAACCGTATTTGATCAATTTCCCTTCTTATACACTTTTTAGAAAAAAATTTTTTAGCCTTAGAAAAAATCGCTATTAATCGAAGAAAATAACGCGTGCGTGCATGCATATGTTATTCAAGCTTGCGGCTGCAAGTGTGAGTTCAATCCCACGTCGAGACGAAAATCTCATGGTGTCTTTTTTTTTTTTTTTTAACACTAATATTTACATATTAATAAAAAAAATGTATTGCATTTTTTAGCTTATGAATAATTATATTTTGATAAAAATGATGTTTAAGTTTTTCAAATTTGAAACATTCAATTACTGTTACTATTGAACCATAATAAATATATAAATATTAATATTAATCAATAAATATTTAAAAGAAAAATTAGTTGAACAACTAAAAGGAATAACCAGAAGAGAGCCAGATCAATTTGAGTAAAAATAGGAGAACAAAATGTGAATAGACTTTGTACAGCGCCTCACGTGATGCTTCCGTGGCGCAGCTAGTAGAGTGCTTGACTACAAACTGTGAGGCGAGCGGTTAGCGGTTCGATTCCCGCGTGCGGCGACCAAGATGTTTTTCTCAAAATAGTAAGTTATTGGGTTTTTATATTTATAATTTGTAATTTGTACACTCATTTCAGTTATTATTACAGTTCCAATTTGAAACAACCCATGTGCTCAATTAAAGGAAATTCAAATAAGGTGACAAACAAGAACGAAAAAAAAAACAACACAA